ACCTGAACTTTGCCTTTCTGCATTACATTGTAAGCTTCATTGTCAGAAGTATCATATTTACTGTTGTTTATTTGATTGCAGTTACCAAAACCCTGAAGGTCAAACATTGCTCCGAGTTACTACTGTATGCAGACAGTGGATAGACAGTGCTGTGAGTTCAGAGGTTCGTCCTCGTTTTTCTATAACCATCAAAAATGCAATGCAGGATTTCTTATAGCCTAAAAGCTTCTTAGTGATTTAACGTTCTATATTACCGGTGGTTATGTACTTTTCAGGAACTTGTGCAAGGCTTTGATCAAGAAACTGCTGCTGTGGTCATGGCTAGATTAGCTTCTTTGAAAATGGAGTCAGAGGTACGTCACAGTAGACAACTTCAGTTTGGTAGTTGCTTTATTTTATTTTTAAGGCGGAGTAAGCTCTTAATGCTGGCAATTTTTTCAAATATGTGTCTTTCCTTGGGAATAATACTCACCAGGAATCCCTAGGAGGTCAAATGCTCATCTATTATACAAAAAGCATTCAAATTTTATTGTTGACACAGCTGTATAATAGTAATATGAACTAGGAGGATCCAACCTGTTTCTTGAAAAATACTGCAGGTTATCTAAGTTATCTAAGGCTTATCACTAAGCCATGTCTATCTATACAATTCATCATATTTTTTTCCCCAGGAGGGATTTGATGCTACTCGGTGGTTAGATCGGAATCTCATTCGTCTTTGTTCAAAGTTTGGAGACTATAGAAAGGATGATCCAGCCTCCTTCACACTGAATCCCTATTTTTCGTTATTTCCTCAATTTATATTTAATCTGCGGCGATCGCAGTTTGTTCAGGTACCACTGCTTTTACATTTCATGGTTTGTGCTCATCATATCGTTAGCTTAGTATCATGTTTTCTTTTTCGGGGTTGTGATATGGTGGCAGGTATTTAACAATAGCCCTGATGAAACCGCATACTTCTGCATGTTATTAAACCGGGAGAATATTTCGAATGCAACTGTCATGATCCAACCGTCGTTGACAACATATTCATTCAATTCACCAGCCGAACCAGCTTTGCTAGATGTGGCTTCCATTGCAGCCGATCGAATTCTTTTATTAGATGCATATTTTAGTGTTGTTGTCTTCCATGGAATGACTATAGCACAATGGCGAAATATGGGTTATCATCATCAGCCTGAACACCAGGTACTAATAACTAGCTGTTTCTAATAGCTTTTTCATGATGCGGAACCATCTCGTTGTTGTTGAATGATTATGTATATTTAATCTTCCATTGACTATAACTATTCTTGTGATAGGCTTTTGCTGAGTTATTGCAAGCTCCTCAAGAGGATTCCCAGATGCTAGTCCGTGAGCGTTTCCCTGTCCCAAGATTAGTTGTCTGTGATCAGCACGGCTCGCAGGTCATTCATCTTATCAATTTGTTATCATGTAATTGTCAGCTTCAGTTTTGTTTGTGCATCTCATTGGATTCGAATGGGAAAATGCAGGCAAGGTTTTTATTGGCAAAGCTGAATCCATCAGCGACGTACAACAATGCAAACGAAATGTCGACAGGGTCAGATGTGATATTCACAGACGACGTTAGCCTTCAAGTCTTCTTTGAACATCTTCAGAAGCTGGTAGTGCAGTCTTGAGTAGTCCTTTTGTTTCTTTACTTTACATTAAATTAAACTTCAGTTTACACCATTAAATTAAACTTCAGTTTACACCATTTTTCATCTACTATCATTATTTTGTTTTTTCTTTGATAAAATTTTTGTAACATTACTTTTCTGTTTTTGTTTCAAGGACTTAGATATACAAAGGGAGAAGAGATAAAATATCTCACTGCATTCCCGAGGAAATTTTATAAACTGAGACATCAACAAAAATATGAATTATTAAATAAATATAATGAAAACTTGAATGAAAACTTTTGTAGAATTACTACCAGAAAAAAAGTCAATAGCGTCAATTAATTTGCATCAACAAAAATTATATTTCATATCAGTTGCAATAATCAATGCCATTATTGATTTGTCTTGCATCATTTTACTAAAATTGATATAAATCTAGATCTATTTGCATCTCTTTTACAATATTAATACAAATATATGAATTTCCATCATTTAGAAAATGATACAAAATTTAAATCAATAAAAATCGATGTCAATTAAAAATTGAGCACCGATTGTAAAAACCCACATCGCTCCCAAGGGAAAGAGAGGTTCCATAATTTTCTTATATATAGTGATCTAAGTTTTCTTTATAGTCTCAAAGAAGTGTAAAGCAAAATAAGCAACTATTATCCCAAACAAATTTGATTGTTTGCTTTAATATTAATTAATAAAATTAAAAAATATTTTTTCTTACAAATTAATTTAATATATATAAAAAATGGTTTGCTGATGTGGACACTTTAGATGAGAGAAGACTCTCTAATTATATATATGATTATTTGTTAATTTTAAAATAATCAATATAAACATTATTTCTATAAATTGATGCTAATACTAATATCATTTACATTAGATGAGGCATATAACATCGATTATAATAGTCGATGCAAATAATTATGATGAAGTTTTTTTAAGCATACTAGATTTCTTAACTTTGGGCTTAACCACATCGCCAAATTTTAACTCTCTTCTCCCACTGTTTTATCAACTACTTTTTTATTTGCGATCATCTCTAGAAAGATCACTCCAAATGTATAAATGTCTACTTTCTTGGTTACCCTTCCATATCAACAAAAACATTAAATATCAAAACTCTTACCATACACAATTTAGTATTGCATTAAAAAGTACTAGAGAAAGCTGTTTGAATAAATTTCAATGTGACTTCACTTCTATCAATATGTTATAGTTATTGAAATAATTTAAAGAGAAGAAAAACTAATCAAAATTAAAAAAAAATACAAGAAAAATACATCAAAAATTTTAAAATATATTATTTAGAGATTACATTAGTTACATTAGAGATACAATTCTGGATTTTGTGGATTATTCTAGGATGGTTGTGCCAAGAGGCTCGAACCACGACAACCTGAACTGAACTATCTACATCTATAGCTAAAATACATCGAAAATTTTTATCCAAAAAAAAAAAAGCATTGAAAAGCTGCAAATACGTCTCTTTTGCTAACTGTGATAGTGAAAATTGTAAAGCCATCTAATTGCTAACTTCAAATTTGAGCTATGCCAAAAACGAAAGTGCTTTTATATACAAACTAGATTTTAACCCGCGGTACACCGCGGGATGATTTAATTTTAAAGTTAGTATAAAAATATTTTGTAAATTGTATCTCCTTATAACATATTTATTTATATTATAGTTTACAATTGTTATTAAGTAACGGTATTCCACGAGTTCACGAGATAATTATTAATAAACTGAGGATTTAACCCGTATTAAAGCGGTATATAAATATTGATTCAAATTCGTCCGCCATATAAATCATTTCCGAAATATAACCCGTTCCGTAATTTCTTAACCCGTCATGTGATTTGTATTAAAAAAATAAGGATTAAATCCGTATTGAAGCGGCGGATTAATGATATTTTAATCTTTTTATTATTGTTGATTCAAAAACCCGTCCCGCCAAACCCATCCCGCCAAAAAACTCATTTATTTTATTAATGTTCTTATTTATGATATGATTCTGAATCATTGTCTAAATATTTTAATCGATGTAGAACGTTGAACACACATTTTCGTCAATTGGATAATATATATCCGTTTTTAAAATTTTGAATCACAGTATATGCAGAAAAAAAATTGATTTTTATTTTTACTTTATGTATTATATGATGATTCAAAACAGTTAAAAACAAATCAAACAAAGATGATAGGAGAATTATAATTATAAATCTTAATCAAATCTTCTAAAAATCTAAATTATTAAATATGGAATATCCGGTGTATGAGTTGGGTTAAATATAACCCGACCCAACAAATTTTTTGTGAAGGAATTTTTAAAATGGGTCGGATATCCGATATACCCGAAAGCTTTTTTACCCACCCGTCACAAAAAGTGCTGCGATTATACTAGTATATATTAGGTAAGGATAAGAAAAATTAATAAAAAATTAAGAAAAAATAAGAAAAATATGAGCAAAACATAAGTCTTTTTTTTTTTTGAACAAACAGCAAAACATAAGTCTAAGTATTTGAACTTGAGCCTTTTAATCTTTATCTTTTAGAATTTTAGTTAACCTATTTAATATGATGTTTCAGACTTGTATTGTTTAAACCATTTTTTCTTTAATATAGTCTTATGTTTAATGTTATATATATTATATGTGTGTGTGTGTATACGTTTCCATTTCCTAATTTTAGAAAAAATCATTTTCCGTTTCCGAACAGTTTTGCTACTGCGTTTCCGTTTTCATAAAACATAGGTATTTACAGATTTTGCCAATAATCTTATATATACATATCTCATACACAAAAAAATGAAATTCCAATTTAAAAAAGCGAATAATTAAACGCAAATACAGATTAATGTCTTTGTAAACATATCATTTTCTTATATAGATCCATTAACCACCATATGGAATTGCTTACAAGAATGAAGAATGTATATATCTACAATCACCAGAACTCTATAACACAATTAAGGATGGGCCCGTCAAATGTTACACTTATCGTTCGCCTGATTCGCTTATGGGAGACAAAGGACCACTCAAACAAAAAGAAGAAATTAGGGGATGTCCTCCTACTCTTAGATGCACAAGTAATAACTCTACGACAACAAATCATTTAAAATAACATTTAATCACATTAATGAAAACTGATGTTCTAAATAGGGTGAAATTATCCAGAGTAGCATGCGTTCTTCCGTTACACCCCCTCATCCATATATATATGTCATTTGAATGACAATGAATACCACAATTTTTGCACTATCTGAAAACACTGAGAAGTTCAAAATCACTCCTCATCCATATGTCATTCGGATGACAACGAGTACCAAAATTTATGCATTAAAGGATTATATACCCAAAATACCTATGCATAAGTTTTGGGTAGAAAAAAAATATTCACAACCGCTCATTATTACTGGAAATGTAACCGAACTAGAGGGCGGAGGAGGGCTTCGGGAGGAGACCGCGGAGAACAAGTCGTGCTTGACTGACGTGGAGGTGAAGCTGCTAGGGTTTGACGCCATGATCAAGATACTTTCAAGAAGAAGACCAGGACAATTGATTAAGACTATAGCTGCTTTGGAGGATCTTCATCTCTCTATTCTTCACACTAACATCACTACCATGGAACAAACCGTCCTCTACTCATTTAATGTCAAGGCAAGATATATCATATGATTTCCTAATTAGACTAGACTGACTAGTCATAAAACACATTTATAAATTTATTTAGTTTTTTATTCAATATAATCATAGATTATGGATTAATATTGTTATAATTAAAGTATATATACAATAGGGAGACCAAGCCTCGATCATAGGAGGAGCAATAGAGTTTGTGAGAGAGCTCGAGCAACTCCTACAATGTCTAGAATCACAGAAGCGTCGAAGAATCCTAGGAGAAACCGGTAGGGACATGACCACGACAACGACTTCTTCTTCTTCTCCCATAACTGCGGTAGCTAACCAAACACAACCGCTCATTATTACTGGTAATGTAACCGAACTAGAGGGCGGAGGAGGGCTTCGGGAGGAGACCGCGGAGAACAAGTCGTGCTTGGCTGACGTGGAGGTGAAGCTGCTAGGGTTTGATGCCATGATCAAGATACTTTCAAGAAGAAGGCCAGGACAATTGATTAAGACTATAGCTGCTTTGGAGGATCTTCATCTCTCTATTCTTCACACTAACATCACTACCATGGAACAAACCGTCCTCTACTCATTTAATGTCAAGGCAAGATATATCATATGATTTCCTTAACACACAACTGCGGTAGTTACCAGGTTTGTATTACCAGGTTTGTATACTACACTAAAACATCATAAACAAATTTTAGCATACTTCAATATTAAAGCACACGTAATTTAATAAACAATATATTTTATTGAATATGTGATCGGCACAAGGACAGTCCGACATTTTTGAATGTTCTACCTACGCAAATAGAAAAATGATGCCCTACAAATTTTATTTTTTTGCAAAATCACAAATAATAGTAATATATAAAAGGACATACTAAAACTTAACATTTGTTAATCTCGTAAGAAGTTTGTAAAAATAAAAATAAAAGTAAATATATAATAAAATAATAAATATATATTATATATACACATATATATATATATATATATATATATATATATATATATAATGGTCTTTTGTCTCCATATGCGAATAAGGTGAACGATAAATGTAACATTTTAAGGGCCCATCCTTAATTGTGTTATAGAGTTTCTGGTACGGTGATTGTAGATATATACATTCTTCATTCCTGTATCAATTTCATATGGTGGTTAATGGATATATATAAGAAAATTGATATGTTTACAAAGACATTAAGACTTATGTTTTGCTCATATTTTTCTTATTATTTGCTTAATTTTGATTAATTTTTCTTATCCTTACATAATTTGTATGTAAAAACACTTTCGTTTTCGGCATAGCTCAAATTTGAAGTTAGCATGCAATTGGATTCCTTTACAATTTTAACTATCGCAGTTAGCAAAAGTGATGTATTTGAAGCTTTTCAATGCTTTTTTTTTTTGAATAAAATTGTTCGATGTATTTTAGCTATAGGTATAGATAGTTCAGTTCAGGTTGTCGTAGTTCGAGTCTCTTTGGACAAACATCCCAGAATAATCCATGAATCATCCCAAAATCCAGAATTGTTAGAATATGAATTTATTAAAAATTCTTAGAATATAATTTTTTTAATATAAAAAGCCTAAAATGTTTTATTCTAAAATATGTCCTCTCTACTTTGATGTCATAAACCATGACTTCACTTGATTCCCGGTTTACTCAAACTGCACAAGAGACTAATATATCTCTAAGGAATAAACAAGAAGCGACTTTTCGACATAACTTATGCGTCAAAAACAGGAAATACTCAATAATGTTGGTCATAGGTTAAACCCAAAATTTTATAAAAGTACAGAAACTAATATCAGATTCGCTATTGTAGCAACCCAACTTCTAACAAAATTAACATGCAGGGAAGCTAGTGCTCGAATCGACTCCTGGGACAAAAAATTTCTTTGAGAACTCCATAAGGGAAATAAAAAAAGAGTAAATCTGGAAAAATACCCTCTTTTTGTTTACACTTTTGAAAAATACCTTTTCCTTCATTTTTATTTTTAAATATGTAAAACCAAACTTAATAACGATTAATAATATCTATATTTCAAATATCAAATCAATTTATTTGTAATAATTAAATATTTAATTTTTACAAAGTCTTAATATAACTAAAAATTCCAAAAAAATTATTATCTTAAATATTCTTTTAAAACAATAATGAATAACAACATTCTACCGATGTTAAGTTATGATTTTTGTTAAGTCATGTGTTATTATTATGGTGCAGATTTTTTTTTTTTTTTTTTTATGGTGCAGATTTTGATGATTCATTATTAATGAAAACACATAATATCGTTTACTTTGCAAAAAAATTCAAAGAGAATTATTGAATAAGAGCAAAGTTTGGTGATATGTTGAGCTGAAAAATGTGCTTGGAATGTTGGAAATTATTTTATTTTATATAATAGAACATATATTAAGGGATAGACTTTATAATATTTTTAGATATTATCTTGTTGAAATTTTTTATATATAAAACTAATAAAGCAGCTTTCTGTTAAAAGTATATATATAATTAATAATATTTCAAATTTAGTTAATTTTTTTCTCTAAATTCATGTTTATTTTTGATTTACTAAAATATAGCTTTAAATTTAAATTAATACAAATTATCATTTTACATATAAAAGATTGTAGTTTTCATTAAAAATAGAAAAAGGGTAATTTTCAAAGCATAACTCAAAAACATGGTAGTTTTCAAAATGATCCAAAAAAAAATTTGCTAAGAGGGAGTACCAGCGCATCACTTTTTTTTTTTTCGTCTGAATAATTCATTGATAAGATACTTGAAGTTAATACATAGCGGCAAGGAAAGAAATCCTTCCGAAAACAAAGCCGGCGGGTACATAGAAACCCCCAGAGACATAGGCCAAAAAAGGCAGACATAAAGAAGGAAAACCATAAAGTACAGGGAATGACAAATACCTAAGACTCAAGCAACACAACTGCAAACTCTTCACTAAAATCATCCGATGAACATTTCCATAGAACAATTTGGGCGCTGGACAGTGGTTACAAACAGGAGCAACAAGAGGATCCATCATTAGATTGCCTTTATATGAAAGGCCCGAGAAGGATACTAAACCAAGCTCACACAACCACAACCCCAGCGGAAACAAGCACAGACAAATAAGAGGAACAGAGCACAGATCCTAACCATCACTACCACACAGAAACCAGAGAAGACAAGCAGGTGAAAGGACAAGGAGAAGCCTTGAGATCCGAAGGGGAAAACGCCAAAGAGAACCAACAAACCTTACACGCGGACATTCGTAGACCCAGCCAAAACCATCTACAGCCTAAGAACTGGTTACGCCACACAAGAGAAGGAATGTAGACCGAGCCTACCACATCGTCTTGAACTCAAATCTTAAATCCAAACAAGGAGAAGGAAAAGAGCTAGTAGATGCCTTTGCAGGAGACTACCATCCGAATGAAGAACCCACAAAACGAAACCTTCACAAACTCATAACACCAATAACCGGGCAGAAAGTAACAAGAGGCAGAACTAGGAGTCAATATTTCCAGCCCTAAACTTGAAACTAAGGCTTCTACCCTCAACCAAACGCACCCAAACATACTCCAACAACCAAAGCAATTAACCGAAGGTAAATAAAGGGACGACCTGTGAGGATAAATGACGACGAAGGCCGTTGCCGCAGATCCAATGGACGCAACCGGAAAACTCGACAAACCAAATTCGAATCCCAATCAGACAAGAACAGAGACGAAAATCACAGATCGGAGAACCACAAAAACCAATCGGAGAACATTCAACTCCACATCAAGGTCGGAGAGACTCACCTACTCCAGCGAGCCTGAATCGATCCGGGGAGGAAGAAGAAAGTCGAAGAAGAAGATGGTTTGCAGGAAGCCAACTTCGTCCTCCAACTCCGGCCAAAGACAACCCATAACCCCCACCCAGATCCCGACGAAGCAAGGCAAGATCTTAACCACATCGCAAAAAACAGTAGAAACGAAAAGAGAAAAACAACTACTACAGAGGGAAACCAGCACCGGTGTTGTGGAAGCCACCAGCCACCGGTCTCAGGCGGAAAGCACGTACAGCGGCGGCTAGTTAGGGCGAACTGAGAGAGAGAGTTTTTTTTTTTTTTTGGATGAGTACCAGCGCATCACTATGAATGTTGAACCTGCTCTCCAAAAAATATAAAAGAAAACTTCAATACGAGGGTAAAATAACATTAACATTAACAAGAAACCAAAGAAAAAAAAATTATTAACATTAACATTAAAGCTATTATTAACATTAACAAGAAACCAAAGAAAAAAAAATTGGTCAAATAAGGGAAGTATAATGAGCAGAAAACTAAACAATAAAAAAGAGGGTAAAAGTAAAAAATATCACTCAAAAATCTTAAAATTCAGAGACACTCCGGTTTGATATGCTTGTGTGGTTAAGGACTATCCGGTTAACTGAATGAATTTCATCAACCGAGGATTGATTGATTGACTGACTGAATAACGAAACTTTTATTCGTTGACCGTAGCAATATCAGTAATAAAAATTTTAAGTGCCACGTCGCCGTAATTACTTGTCCTTATTTACCCGAATCCATTTATTTTCGAAATTCGGTTAAAGGAGTGGTAACGCCCAACTCTTTTTTCTCAAATTGAGTGTACTAATTCCTTCACTTAATAAACTTATCCCAAAGCTGATATAAGATTCATAAACACTTGCAACAGAAACTTCAGCTTAGAAGGTGCAAGCAAAGAGAGAAGGACTGAGAACAAGAGTCTCCAGTCACAACTAAGAATCAACTATACCACCTTCCATTTTCTGTTATACAAGTGTGAGATATCAAAGTCATTATCATTTGATCCAAAATCTTGAAATCATTTTATCAATTAGACAATTTGTACACAAGGGATTTTATGCAAGTGAGTACTCTTTTGCTTCACTTCATTCAACAGTAAAACAAAAAATCTTTGATTCCAAGAGAGAAAAGTTAAGAAAAGCTTCACTACACAAACTTCTTTCAGTAGAAAGATATTACACTATGATCTTTATGTTAAAACTTAGCTTTGATTCTTATTTTCCAATTGAGTTTGCTCAGATGTCTAATGCATACTGCAACACCACAAACAAACTTAAAATATTGAATAAGTGTAAAGATATTCCCTACAATACTGGTTTCTGCAAAACCTGATTGTTGTTACTGCCGACACTCTGCATCTCTCTTGGCTATCAAAGAACGAGCAAGCCGTAACTCAGTTTGAAGTTTATTCATCTGCAAGGGAGGCGTTCACAAAAACATTCACATTGTTAAAATTTATAGAGTTTATTATTTTATCATATAGAGATGGAGCTTCAGAATCAAGTATGACCTCAGCTTTAAAGCATGCACTAGTATTGTTTACAATTTACATTGTGTGCTAAACACATAAAGAAAGTAACAAAGTCTATGTTAATTCCAATCACAATGAAAGCAGAGACTGAAACACAAGAACAAACAAAATCTTTGGAGTGATTTTGGCAAGTTCAGTGACTAAATTTCACCAAGTCTCCGGATATCTCAATTCAATAGCCAACAACACAATTCTACTTTTATTAATCATATACTGAATCGCATTGCAATATCTAAGATTCTAACCAAAGAGAAATATAATCATTAAGCAAGTGACAAGTCAGAGATGAAGAAATCACCGGCAAAGAAAAGAGTGTGGGCTCCGTTAATCGGACCTAATTTCGAATTTCTCCAAATAACCCATTCAAACTAAGCCTGATTTGAAAAACTGTGTACTTAGAGGAACTATCTCTAATAAACCGAATACTTAGCTGCACATTCAAATCCAGTTTCCATAAATTTCAAACTTACAAAGTCAAAACAATGATAACATCTCATAGCTCAAACAGCACAGAACCTATGTGAATGCATCAGTAAATAAACTGTCCCTAAAAAACCCAATACTGTACTTAGCTTCACAATCAAATCCATTATCCACATATACTCAAATTTTAGAACAGCATACCCATTTTGTTGGTTGCTACAAAGAAATTAAAAGATTGCTGAAGCTACACTAGTGAAAAGAAAGAGAGAAGGACCTTGAGATTGACACCGAAACTTGAGGAATAGCTCTGACAGGATTAGATTGATTCTGTAAAGCTCGCCCCATGACAGAGATTCCTCCGGTCGCGAACTCGTCGCATGATGAACTATCTTTAACCAACATGATGATCCTGCAGATCATATATAAATACATTTAAACATCATGGCTAAAAATAGTTTTCCTCCACCCTAACATATACTAAATGTTAATCGTGAAAGAGCACAATCACTCAGATAGTCCAAAGCTTGAGCCAGACCCTATGCTCTTCTATAGAAACCGCCTGCGGAGTTTTAAAGCATGCACTAGTATTGCTTACATTGTGTGCTAAACACATAAAGCAAGTAACAAAGTCTATGTTAATTCCAATCACAATGAAAGCAGAGAGTGAAACACAAGAACAAAAACAAACAACTTTTGAAGTGTGGCGATCTCAAATTTGGCAAGTTCAGTGACTTAATCTCATCAAGTCTCTGGCTTTCTCAATTCAATAGTCATCCACAAACACAATTCTACTTTTATTACCAAATCACATTGCAACCTCCTAAAAATTTAAATCAATAAGCAAGTCAGAGATAAAGAAATCACCGGCGAAGAAAAGTGTGTGAGCTCCGCCGCTAGTGAAAGCTCTGATGTTGAGATCACTCAAGTCTCCATCAAAACTCCAAGTTTCCACACACTTCGTCTTCTACAGGAGCCAAACACTAATCGGACCCAAATTTCGAATTTCTCCACATAACCCACTTGATCCCTGAACCCTAGATTAGGAAAATTCAAACGAAGCTGAATTTGAAATAGATGTGGCAACAACACTGCGTCACTGGAGACTGTCGAAGAGCATAATCTCTATCTAATCTATCTATCTATCTATATCTAATAAGTCACAAGTCTCTATCTAATAAGTCACAAGTCAATTCACAAAAAAAACTACCGCATTCTCCTTCTGACACTTGTCATAAGTCCCAGTTTTTCACCTTCCAGAATTGTAACAGAAAAAACTTTATTATTAAATTGAAAAAAATTACGAAAAAAAAAATTCAATTGCTCCCTTTTTTCCACAATCTATATTCCCCACTTCATCACCTCACCAATGAAAATCTGCCACATAGACTTTTTGATTTTAAGAAATTAAAAAAGCAAATTTAAAACAGAGCAAACTATTTATTCTCCGATTAATATGCAAAAAAAAAAAAATGGGTTTCATCGATCTCTAAATTGTTCCTACTCTCAAGCCACGATCTCCACCTCCTTCTCATCCAATAACTGAATAACACCTTCTCATACAATAACATGAACTCCTTAGGATCCAATATAAATAAACCTTCTCCATTAGTAAAATAGTTTAATCCCTTTCACACTTTTCAGTTTTCCACTAATCCAACAAAACAAATTTCTTCTCTTTTTTTTTTCTGCAGAAAGACAAATCTTCTTCATAAATTCTAGAATGCTTGCAATGGTCTTCACATTCAAAACTTTGTCTTCACATCATTCATTGTCTATAACAATTCTTTGAATTCATCACCAACGAGTTTTCAGATAATGATATATGCAGAATTATGTACGTCGAACATCTTGCAAATGATCAACTGGATCGTGGCCGTAAAGTTTAAAGTCGTATCGGGAAGAGGTTGATACTTTGTGGTCAAATTGGAGAGATTCAACAAAATTTAATGATTTTGAGGCATGGCTTTCAGAAACTTGGTGGAAGTTTTTCAGCAAATTCTTGGTAAGTGAATTCAATCAAGCATCAATTGTTAATATTTAGGTTTTTTCAATTTTGATTTTTTATTTAATTCGCTGTAAACTAATCGTTACCAGATCTTCCCATGACGAGCCTCTTTCTCGAGTCGTACTAGAATAGAAGGTCAAAAAGGATGAAAACACTATGCCTCATAAATAAATAGAAGAAGAGTGAGGAAGCAAGTTAAAGAAGAGGAATAAACGAGGAGAGTCTGAACCTTTTGTCCATTCAGAGGTTTACAAATACAAAAATTTGCATTTTGTTTTCAATTATTTAGTGAACAAAAAAATTCCTCTGATCTATTTTTTTTTTTAATTTTGTTGAGTGTTTTGTAAATTTATATTTTAATCGGGATTTTGCATATTACAAAATGAATTACTTTACTTTACCAAGTAATATTGTGACATGTATTAAAGTATCAATCAATTCACAAATAATTTGTAGTTCTTAACCAATTTTTTTTAATTCACTTTATAAATTTTCAATTCAGAAATTTTTAAATATTATCTAAAAACAGAAAAATATTTAGGACTTTTAGATAGGCTTTTAGATATTATACGAATCCATTTTTATTTTGAAATAATTTATTCTATGATATTTCTATGGTATCTATCAACTTCAATCTTTGGAAGAAGAAAACAATTATATCTCAATTAAAATTAATAAATTATACATCCAAATGTGTTTAAGAAATCTGATTAATTGTTATCGAAAGTGTTGCAACATAGTGAAATTACATTTTAAAGAAGTTGATGATAAGGTACAATTTTGTGGGTCTTTCTAAAGTCTCATTAAAATCTATGATTTCATGATCAATGTTAAGATTTACTTAGAAGAAAGATAAGTGATGAGACTGATATAGAACTCTGTTGTGCTATTACATTATAGTTTTTATCGTATTATAAGAGACAAACAAGTAACCACATAAAATAATAATTTTTGTTTCTACTTAGCTTAAGAATCTATAATATATATATATATATATATATATATATATATATATATATATTAAAAAAAAAACTAATCTCTATTTAGGCCGTGCAAGGCACGGGCCATTACACTAGTTGTAAAATATTTGCAGTTCTCAATCTTGAAGGAGACTGTAGCGGAGAAAGAAAAAAAGATGATGTTTTGGCATAATTATTTTTATTTAAAGAAGAAAAAAAAAACTCAAAACTAAACCATTGACTAGATGTTGAAAAAAAACTAGTGAAAATGTTTGTAAATATTAAAATCTAAATGATTAAACGTAATAATTTTAAACTAGTTAGGTACCTAATGTATAAATGTAGGATCTATAAATGTGATGAGTGATAATTCATGGACCATGTGATGAGTGATGAGTTGATTCTTATATATTCGCCTTGCACTTGCAGTCCGAATTTGCATCCTGCCTGAGGATTGGCTCTTCAACTGCTTGGTTCGCCTCTGATTTCTTCCCCATCAGTTGGTGTCAGGGTATTGATGAATCAAATTAATATGTATTGGATGGAAAAGTGAAAGTGAAATGAATTTAATTAATGAATAAAAAAAAAATTGTTGCTTTTTATTAACATCAAAAAAAATAAAAAAATAAAAGAGATATAAACGAAAAAATTTGTTGTGAAACGAAAAAACAAACGTAAATAAGAGATATAAATCATAAATGTGTTGAAGTTATCCCACTGCTAAAGTGTTTTATAAAGAAAAAGTTTCACAAAACTATATTTTAATCTAATAATTTGATTTATCATACATATTGATTTCGACGGAATCTACATTACATGTTTATTCGAATAAATAACGGATAACGATCATTAAAATACTATTCAAAAATAAATATTTTAAAATGGTTAGGTATTAGATAACTGTTACAAATAGTATTTAAAATCAATATCCAAAATCTCACTAGAACTAATAAATGTCATTTGATTTGGATATTCCGATTTCGGATCGGATTTGGTTCGGATTTTTTCGGATCAGATAATTCAGGTAAGAAAGTTTATTGTCCGTTCGGGTTTTATGCCTATTCGGTTAGGTTTCGAACCAGTTTTTGGGAAAAAAACTTATAAATTTGTTCAATATTAATGAAAATTTGATTAAATTTCGCAAAAAACTGTATAATTATAACAAGGGAGACTCACAAAAATGCCCCTTTTTCAATACCCCTTTTCAAAAATGCCCCATTTGGCTGTCCATTTTTAAAAATACCCCTTTTTATGTACAAAATGACTAAATTACCCTTCTTTTAATAAAAAATATCACAAATATATAAGGAAAACATGAGAATGTGCACACATCAAAATTACAAATTTGATTTTGTAAAAACTTGTAAAACATTTAAAATACCTTGTAAAATTTTTCCGCCAAAATTTTTCCCGCAAAAAAATGTTCCCGCCAAAAATTTTTTTTTGCGGGAAAAGTGATTCCGCAATTTTTTGGCGGGAAAAATTTACAAGGTATTTTAAAGGTTTTTACAGGGTGTTTATTTTGATGTGTGCACATTCTCATGTGTTCCTTATATATTTGTGATATAAGGTATTTATAAGATATTGTACAGATTTTACCAGGCTATTTTATAAGGTTTTACCAGTTATAAGGTTTTACAAGTTTTTTATAAGGTTTACAAGTTATAAATACCTTATAAAACCTTATAAGTACCTTGTAAAACCTTTTAAAATACATTGTAAAACCTTACAAAACACTTGCAAATACTCTGTAAAAACCTTTAAAATACCTTGTAAATTTTTCCCGCCAAAAAAATTGCGGAATCACTTTTCCCGCAAAAAAAAAAATTTGGCGGGAAAATTGCGGGATCACTTTTCCGGCCAAAAAATATTTTGTATTTTGTGGACCTAATTTTGTTTCAACTAAGGGTAAAATGGTCATTAAAAATTAAAAGAGGACAAATTTAAAAATAGACTCTCAAAGGGGGCATTTTTGAAAAGGGATATTGAAAAAGAGGCATTTTTAACAATTTCTCTTATAACAAACATCACTAAATATTTTCGAATATCTAGGTTATTTTGGATATTTTTCGGTATTTGATATTACATTATAACTAATATTTTTTGGAGATATAATTTTATTTTGGTTTTTGCATATACTTTGGGTTTTTGGTTTAGATGAGGTTCGGTTCGGATAACGCGTATAGGAGAATTCATTATCCGTTCGGGCTCTATAACTATATGGTTCTGTTTCGGAATCAGATTTTAGATTTTTTTTTTTGTTTTTTTAATGGATGAATATAATTTGAGTAATTTTGAGTATTTATTTTAAAAGGCATTTTTTAATTACCTATTAAAACATGTAAACTGGATAGTACTCCTAGTAGTGATCAATCCATTCATACTTTTATGTGTTCAAATAATTTATCTTGATCCAAAAAGATAATTTATTTATAGTTACCTAAAAAGATCTAATAATTTGGATCGGATATGGATAGAACCGGGTTAAAAAATTAGCAGACCTTAACAAAAATTTAAGAACAAAAATAAAATAGAACATTTTGAAACACAAAACACAGTAAGATAATTGATCTCTAACTAAAGGATAAATAAATATTCATATACCTCATTTTTGAAATGCTTTGCCAGAGAATAATACACCATCAGAAATTCAGAAGACTGTACCCCACTTACTCAATGTTGCTTGACCGTTATTTCCGTTACTAGTTCGAATAATATATAATAATATTTCTTTTGAACATGCCAAACAAGGAACGAAACTAACCTATTTTTAGAAAGATGATATAGGTACGTCTGCGTCTGCTTTTGTATATATATATATATTTTTTTTGAAGTTTGTAGAAGTTATTGAACACAACTCCGATCGCTATGCTCACTAACACTCCTCTCACCGTTATCTGCTTCGTCCACGGTTCGATTGTCCTCCCAGACATCTCTTCCTCTGTTTCTGGTTCTTCTTCTTGCAGTGACTGTTGATTCTGGACGAACAGGTAACTTGGCAATTTCTTTAGGTTTAATATTTTGAATAAAATTAGGAATTTTATTTACAACATTTACACCATTGTATCCTTGGCTGAGCCTCACTGGTTGCTTCCGAAGTCTCTCTAGCTAATGCTGAATTTTGTTTTAAATCGATCTACTTTCCCCTTCCAAAGCAGTACATCATTTTTTTCAACTAGCCCTTTTTGACGAACTTCATCTACCACTGCCTCAATGTTCTTGAAATAATATCAATCCCGTGTCTCCTCTTTCTATGAGTCACAATCACGTCAGCTAAAGTTGCAAGAAGCAGAAACTAACATTCCTTGACTTGATTTCATCCTCATTGGTTTCAGCCACTCAAACCCTAGTTACCTCCACTTAACATTCCTTTTAACAATTCCTCAAACAGCCATTACCACCAATAAATCCCTTAATTCTGATAACAACTTTCAGTTTGTGAATCTTGTGTTCCATCAAAGTGTTGATTTTAGCATTTTAGCATTTTAGCAGTTAGTACATGAGCATCCAGAAAACAACAACAGAGATCACCACAAAACAACTAGTGATTGCAGCGGATCTCTTGCTCCGATTCTTTTCCACAATCAGATACTGCTTTTTTATTTCGGGAAATCTTGAACCTACCTCTCTTCTTTGCCGCAACCACTCATGAAATTCATAACCTTTTGATGCAATAGAACTCACAAGCTGAATTTGCAAAGATTCGTGTGGCAAAACCACAAGATTCTGCAATATGTTACTTCTGATTTCGTTACATCTTACTCAGCTTGAACCCTTAGAGCGAACCATAATATCATTTTGAAACCAGCAACACACCATTACCTGTCTTGTAAACAAGAGTCATAAGTTCTCAGATGGAACCATTGAAACCTCATAAGCATTCATCAGAGTCACATCTTGGAGAAACTTGCAGAGACACAACTGGTTAATGATACTCACACTTTTCCACATACACTACCGAGACCTCACACAATAAAACCAGTACCTGGTATTCGCCAGAAACTCATTGTCTCAGTAAACACCTGCAGGTTGCTCACAAACAACTGAAGTCGTCCAACAGCCTTCTCTTGAGGCGTGTCTTGTTCTTGTTGCCGCTTGACTTTCAAGGCTCTCTTTCTTTGTCGATGTATACTTCTAAAGATTTTCTTTAGCCTGATCACTACACCATATAATCCTCTCAGATTTTCAAGAGCCTGAGATTGACCATCACCAAAATTCCCACCAAAAGTTTGAATTTCTTCAAAGCCATGAACCTGTTATTTTTCAACAGATTACTTGATTCAGTTTTTTTGTCTGAAACTCATCTGCAACTATTCTCTACATGAACCCCAACACATGATCCATATTGCAACAGCCTAAAGTACAAAAATTGAAAAACCTAATATGTCCCTGATTACTCAGAATATGTGTTTCATTGCTGTTATTTCAACTAACCTTCAACACTAAATGCAGCAGATTTTCGTCATAATAACTAGTGAATCACCACAAAACAACTAGTGATTGTACACCTTCTTGTATCTTAAACAGCCTTATTCTTATGAACTAATCAAGAGAAAACAATCTCTTTGATTGACTGTCTTCCTTCCAGTTCCAGAATTGCATCGATCTCCTTCTTCCTCGTTCTTGCAGACACTTCATTGATGGCCCGACTTCTTCTTCCTCTGTTTTTATGTTTCCTGAAATTGCAATGAAGAATTAGTATCAGCCTCAATAGTCACATGATCTTGTTCTAAACTCCCTTGATGTAGCATGTAATGCTCAACCAACACCACATCACAGTTGATCACTCTTTTCTTAGCTTCATGATGCCATTATGTTTGGATAATTTGGACACATCTTAAGAACATTTTACTATAATGTTAAAGCATATGAGATGTACAACAAACAAGATAGTGGAACTAACATGTACAAAAGAGTGAATTGAGCGAAATCATATAATACATAGATTAGTACATGTAATATTTCCATCTCTTCTATATAGTCCTAAATGATCACAATTAACACACTACAACTTTGTTTTTGACAGGTATGATGAAGTTGATTCTCTTCACCGTTTTCGCCATTCTGGCAGTTGTTAGTGTTTCAGAAGATGATGATGGAGCTGCAATGCTTGCAGTCTCGAGAGCCTTTCAGCCGCATCCACCTCGGTGGTCCACTCGGTCTTCCTTTGCATACTGCAAATGGAAAGGCGTGGAGTGCAACCACATCAACCACCGGGTTATTTCAATTAACATTTCTGGTTTATTGCTAGGTGGAGTGATTTCATCGGCGATCAGTTCTCTCCCTGAGTTGGTTGAGGTTAACCTCCAAAACAACCAACTCACTGGAGAAATACCGAGGCTTCCAAAACACATAAAGGTTGTTTATAAACTCGGGAATCAGTTGCTTAGACACATGTCAAGAGACAATGGAGTGACTACGGGCATAGTCATTGCAAGCACAGTTGGAGGTGGACTCATTTTGATCACCTTTAGTATCCTGGTTTGTGCTTACCAGCTCAAGAAATCTACTCTGGAAAACGTTGAGAATGGTAGAAGTAGAACTGAGGAAGTTCAGAGGGCATTGATTACTGGACATGATCGTGATGAAAACCATTACCCAATAGAAAATCTTCGTCGAGCCACCAACGATTTCAGTGACGAAAATGTATTAGGCCGAGGTGGTTCTGGGGTCGTTTACAGAGGAGTACAACGTGATGGCACCACTATCGCTGTTAAGAAGATGGAGTTTGGAGTTCTTGATGAAAGGGCGATGAGTGAGTTCAACAATGAGATTAGTGTTTTTACTAGTCTTCGACACAAGCATTTGGTTCCACTTCTTGGATTCTGCATTGATGGCAATGAGAAGCTGCTTGTGTACGAGTATATGCCCCTTGGAACATTGGCGCACCATTTGTTCGAGTGGAGTAACCGCGGGTATAACCCTTTGACATGGACTCAGAGGATAGCCATAGCATTGGATATCGCACGGGGGATTCAGTATCTTCATGGTCTTGCGAGAAGAAACTATATCCATAGAGACTTGAAGCCTTCCAACGTACTTATAGGAGATGGCATGAGAGCGAAGATTTCTGATTTTGGTTGTATGAAGCTCTTACCCGAGGGAGTCGACTCAGTTGAGACTGCAACAGTGGTGGGAACCTTCGGTTATATTGATCCAGATTATGTTGGTAAGTTAGATTATCATATACTGACTTAATCTTCATCAGCTTATTATATGTATAAGTATTTGTGCTAATTTAATTATTTTCAAAATATATTCGTAGGTTCTAAGAGGGTCACAAAAAAGGCGGATGTTTATGCATTCGGGGTGATACTAATGGAGTTGATCACAGGAAGAAAAGCAAATGATGAGACATTGAGTGATGATGAACAAAATGTGGTCAGGTGGTTACGTCCGAAGATTAAAGATACAACATTCTTGAACTTGATTGATGGAACTATAGCAACAGACGAAGAAACCATTGAGAGCATCAAGAAGATTGCGAAATTGGCTGAATACTGCACTTCTCAAGAGGTTGAAAGTAGACCAGACATGTTTCAAACAGTGAATTGGCTGGTTCCTCTTGTGGAGCATTGGGAGCCACCATCCAGTGAAGAAGATACAGAATCAGAGAAGGACACCACGACTCTTCTAGAAAAGTTGCATAGGTGGGAAATTGAAGCTGGTGAGGGAACATCTATGGCTTTCTACGGTAAGTTCTCAATCTCATTTTTTCACACAGTTCTTTTGGTTTCTTAATAACTTTATTCTGAGTTATTGTAGGTGAACCAAGCGGCACCAAATATGAAAAGACACACTCGTCACAGCCTTCTTTAAGTGGCATCGAGGAAATAGAAATGACTCGCAGATAGTCTTTTGGATTTTTTAGAAGACCACTGTGGTAAGTTTCCAATGCCCGTTCGATTTACATTTTATAGCAAGCTTGGCTGAAAATTTAGAAATCGTTCTTACATATTGATGATTGGATTATTGATTAAGATAGTTTTTATCCTCAGATGTTGCACTGTCAATGAATGTGTTGTGGCTTGAATGGTTATGATATCTATGTATTTTGATGCAACTATCAGACTAGCCATTTTCACTGAGACTTTGTCTTTCCAAGAGATGAATATTTTAGGTGTTCTTTAGGATTATATGCATATAACCATGAAGATTGCAATGCAGTGTTTTTCTAGCCTAAACTGGTGGTGATATACATTTTCAGGAACATCTGGCAAGGCTTTGAACAAGCAATAGCTGTTGTGGTCATGACAAGAAAAAAATTAGAATATTGTACATTGCAGTTAGTTTAAAAGTTAAGAAATGTAACGTCATATGTACCTCTGGAATTTTAAATCCTTCTTCAGATTCTTTAAGTTGAACAAGCAACTCTCCTGCGGCTTGAAACTGTATCTCTTAGTTAAGACTGGAGACTCTTGTTCTCATCCCTGAACTATTGTGCCTCCTCTTTTTGCACTTTCAAAGCTGAAATTTCTTATGCAAGTGTGTTTATGAATCTGGACTCAGCTCCTTTCAATCTTGCTCTGGATTGTCAATTCCTTCTCAAATCTTTCCATGCCTTGCAAGCAATTGTATATGCTTCTCTTCCAGATCTGCCCCTGTCTTGCTTCCTCCAACTCTCCTACACATCTTTTGTCGGAGTAAAGTTCACGTTCCTGCATTTCCACTACAGTCCTGCATTTTAAGTTTGTTTGTGGTGGTGCAGTTAGCATGAGACATCTGAGCAAAGTCAATTGGAAAATAAGAATCAAAGCTAGGTTTTAACATAAAGATCATAGTGTAATATCTTTCTACTGAAAGAAGTTTGTGTAGTGAAGCTTTTCTTAACTTTTCTCTCTTGGAATCATGATTTCTTGTTTACTGTTGAATGAAGTGAAGCAAAAGAGTACTCACTTGTAGAAAATCCCTTGTTTACAAATTGTTTAAATTGATAAATTGATTACAAGATTTTGGATCAAATGATGATGACTTTGATATCTCACACTTGTATAACAGAAATGTAACGTCATATGTAGCTCTGCAATTTTCAATCATTCTTCAGCTTCTTTAAGTCGAACAAGCAACTCTCCTGCTGCTTGAACATCTTCAGCTGTGTCTCTTAGTTGTGACTGGAGACTCTTGTTCTCAGTCCTTCTCTCTTTGCTTGCACCTTCTAAGCTGAAGTTTCTGTTGCAAGTGTTTATGAATCTTAACTCTGGTCCTTTGACTCCTACTCTGGCTGCTGCTTTTTCAACATCGTCTATGCCGTACAAGCAATTGAATATGCTTCTCTTCCAGGTCTGCATGTTGTGCAATCATTCGTGTATGCCCATGCCTCTCCATCTGCTTGCTTCCCTCAACTCTTTCTCACATCTTTTCTCAGTACCCAATTGACGTTTCTGCTTTTCCATTAGCATCCTATTGGTATCAAGCACAGTTCTTAATTCCTCAACAACAGAGATCCAGTTGCTCTCTGCTTTAGCCCAACAAAGTCTTTTTGTTCTACTGTCTTCTCAGGACTCTCATCCGCTGACTCAAAATGGTACTAAGTATCCTGATTAAAGTCACAGTAACATAGTAAACATTACAAATCGAAACAATGAGTATATATTGTTATAACAAGGCAAAGATACCTGGAAAGCATATACTATGTCATATGTTTTGTCTTAAAAATGGCCAGGCTGCAATAAAATCAAAGCAAGGTGAATAAGCTATCTTACCTGCTCTTGATAGGTTGATACTTGAGAGTACCTTGCTGGTTCCACCATAAACCATGATGCCTGCTCTGTTAAGCCTTCCCATTGCCATGATGCCTGCTCTGTTAATCATATAAACTGAATATAAGCTTTTTTTTGGTATTATATGAAACGACACCGTTTATCATTTTGGTTTAATGCGCCGGTTTGGTGTATAATACGTGATTCCTAAAATAGTTAGTGCTAGCAGTTGCAGGTATTGTCTATCTGAATCAAAACACAAATCGATTGTAACAAATCCAAAATAAAAGAATCAGAAGATGAATTCAGTATTATATATATATATATATATATATATATATATATATATATATATATATATATATATCTTCTCAGGAATATCGTCCATTGACTCAGAAATTGTAGTAAATGGTGGAGTATGATTATAGTCACAAGTATATCTTCGCCTAAGCATGAAACCTCTTTTCGTAGCTGACGTTTCTTACACTCTTAACAACTTGATCTTCGTCTGCAGCACTTCAAGGTGGTTCCTATACATGTCCTTCAAAAAGCTGCAGCGATATAGGTAAGGAAATATCTCTGCATTGAGTCTCTTCTAACAATGGAAACTCCAAACACTACCTTGTGCTCATGCATGAGAGATGCAATTTCTTCATCCAGGAAATTATTGTGTCCCCTTCTAGGCCTTTCTTTGTCCTATGCTGGCATTGCTGCACACTCTATCTCTCTCATGTTTGTATTATTGCAACCTGTTCAACTTTCCAGACACAATTAGAAAGGTTCTTTTGTTATGTAAAAAATAAAGAAGCTAGCAAAACAGAACATAAGCAAGGATCATACCAGCCGATTAAGCTGTGATATTTTCAGAGGCTTGCTTATGCGCAGAACTCTTCCAGAGCCATTTCTCTTCTGATAGACCCTGCACGAACATTTTCCACTGCCTGTAAGGTGCAAAAAACTCCCATCATATTGTTACACTATTCAAATGAGGAACGAAAAAACCTGCTCTAAACGAAAGCTACGACTCTTACTTTAGGAACTTGGAAATTGGACTTTTCTGTAACTTGTGACTTGTCAACAACTACTAACTCGAGATTTGAAGTTTCACTTGTTTCTTGGGCAACACATTCTGCTATACATTTGCATTAACTACACAGTACTACTTTTGGGTTCTCATCGCTATCATATCAGCTTGGGGATAAGTATGCACACCTACATCACCCTTACGTTGAGTGGTTGAAGACTTGCATTCTAGAGCTCTATAGGATGACGTGAATGTCGATCGTCTTTGAGCTGTACTTTGGTATTTACTGCACAGTACTCTTTGAAGTTTAATGCCTCTGTGGAGGCTAGCTACCAATTACCTAGTTGGCACAGGAAAAGCCTGACTTTTCTATATAGACAAAGCACTAGATAGGTTTAACACCAAAGCCGGAAAAGCTAGTTGTCATAGCCGGAAAAGGTTCCACAAATTCTCCATAACACTGGAATCCAAAAATAGGACAGAAAATGAAATTCAGCCAAGTACTGAAGCAATTTAACACCAAAGTCACCATAACTTTTCGAATTATACCATAATCGAAATATCTTAAGATACAGTAACAAAGGTTAATATGCTATCCAGCTAGTTGTCACAAGGGTTTAGGGAACTTCAATCAGGAAACTTGAAAGGTTGAGAATACCTTGTTAAGGTTCCACCATAAACCGTAATGAGTGGTCCGTTAAGCCTTCCCATGGCCATGATTGTGCCAAGCATCTGAAAAAACAGTAGAGGATATTAGTAATCATAAAACCATGAAGATGAAGAAACATCAGTTATACAACACAAGAGGGATGATGATTCGGAAAAAAGAAAGCTCAAATCTTTATCTTCACAATGCAGGAAGGAAGAGATACAGTATGTTGCCATCATACCATTGTGCGCTGATCCACGATCTCGATACTTTAAGGAATCAAATGCCCAAATTTCTAATTCTGCCAGTCCTTGCGAATATGCAATGGTAGAAAAGTTTTGTGATCTGAAACAATATGACGTCACTTTCTAGTTTTGTACCCATTGTATACGCCATTTCTAGGCTTGGTGTAGCAGCTGTCAGCTGCATAATGTGTTGAACCCTTTTCAATTGAGTATTGACTTTTAACAACATCAAGTCTCTCCCTTGTAGAGCTAGCTGTAACTTTGCGACATTCACTGCCACTCTGTGTCGCATAAGTTCCGTTAACACGCAAACAACATTCAACCAACTCACAAACTTCTTCGCCCAAACAGAATCCAGCAAATGGTGTAACTGAGAGATGTGAAAGATAGGTTGATGAGTTGAATATTGACATCTTGAAGTGAACGCAGATGGTAAACCACAGGTCTTCTAGGTTTCAAAACCTCAAAAGAGTCATATAATGAGGTTGTCAGTTTATGAAACACTCGTTGAACCAGCAAAACAAGAGTGCCCTTGTCCAATGTCATGTGAAATTGAGTGACCTGCAGCTCCTTCTGGTTAAGGAAAACGTATAAAATATGGTGAAATGTTGACTCCTCTTGTGAAATGGCATTCCTTTCTCTCGATTCTCTTTCCCACAAGAACATGGGCTTAATATACCATGTATAAGTCCCTCTTTTCATGTCTCATGAAGCATGCATCATCCTCATGTTACACAACACCCTTGCCATGTGAGCTTGCTTCTGCAGTCTGAGGCTCCGAAATCTTCTCCTCTTCCTCACTAATCCAACTTAGCATGAGAACAAAAACTAACGGGTTTGCTATCTTTGCTAATATTTCCAAGCCTTGAATACTTTCTTGGTTTCCTTTTATCAGTGACACTTGTTGATTGATGATACAACCAATCCAACAAGACATTGTTTCTCTGCTTAATCCGGAGAGTTTATAAGCAATATCTCATAGCTTCCAGAACTCTCTTTGATTAAAGCCATCTCCCTGCTGGAAGCAATTCCTGCTGGTGGCTTAGTTCTATCACCAAAAATGAATCCTTGCTCTGCCACGATGCTGGTTCCGGAATTGAGTCAATTACCAATCATCTGTGGTAAGTTCTGAGGCTTCATCCCATGCACCTTTTCCTGCATTTCTTGAGTTAACCCACACAGAAAAATCCCTTGAAGCTTACGATCATCTAAACCGTTGAGCAGATGATTTTTCAAATCTTTGCACATACTCAGCAAGTGCACCCTTCTGTTTAATGCAAAATAAGCTCCGACTTGGACCTGTAACTCTCACATTACCAAATCTGAAAAGCAATCTATCTTTAAAATGAAGCCAATTCTAAAATGGCAACCTATTTATCTCCCAATGGTACCATTCCAAAACAACACTCGTTAAACTAGCAGAAACCAAATCCAATTTCTCAGTCTCTGTGAAGCTCTTTCAAGTCAAAAATATCGCTCCACACTTTCACACTCGCAATCCAACCATACGGATAAACTCCATAGAAATTGGAATCTCCTTTCTTTGCACCATCGGTTTCCCTGAATCCCTAACATGTTTCCACTACGGCTAGGTTCCAGATGAGAAACCGATTTCCTGCTGATTACGAAAAGTTTGAGAAAACAAGTGCTCTATATGACTCGTCCCGACGAATCGCGAGTTGACTCAGTCAGAGGAAGACGAACACGTGATCTGCGTAATCAAATTGTTTAACTGATCAAAAATCTCCGGCGTTGCACCAGAGTCATCCGCCACCAACGATACAGATCGTAACGGCGAGAACAACGTATCCTTCACCATTCTTCGATTAACAATTTTGGTGATTCCATTGAAGGCACCTACGTTTGTTTCGGAGGCAACTATACTGTGAGAGATTCCTTCACATTTTCCCCTCTTTAAAATCTTCATCTTCATGGGTTTTAACAATTCTTTTGGTTAGTAGACGGAGGATGTTCTTCCGAGCTTAGAAGAACAAGGAGTGCCTCAACTTTATCCCAAAGATTCTAATGTTGGTATGTCATTTTCCTAACTCTGTGATATCAAACTCAAAATGAAATTGCTATTGGCTTTCTTGTGTATGGTTTTGTTCAGTCCCTTAATCGGAATCAAACTTATTACATGAGTTCATTTGCAAGTTATGTTCTTTAAAAGTGCCTCTTTCTAGAGTATGGTTTTTCACTTCATTGGAATCAACCTTATCTTACCATGATCTTTGAAAGTTGCCTCTTCGTTTTGTTGAAGAAAGTTTCAAATATATTGTGTGTAGATTACAAGAAGGAACTCAGGTCGTTGAATAGAGAACTACAGTTACATATACTGGAGCTTGCTGATGTTCTTGTTGATAGACCTTCTCAATATGCAAAGAGGATTGGTGAAATTTCTTCAATCTTCAAGAATTTGCATCACCTTCTCAATTCCTTGAGGCCTCACCAAGTAAAGAAGATCCCATCTTTGTTTTATTTACAACATTGGTTTCATTGGTTTTTGTTTCATTGTTTTGATCTTATCTTATGTCCAGGCGAGAGCAACGCTTATTCACATTATGGAACTTCAAATTCAACAGAGGAAACAAGCCGTGGAAGACATTAAGAGGTTTGTATATGCTTTTTTTAAGTTCTGTCTTAGTGGTGTGCCAATATCAATCTATCATATGTTTAAAAATTCTTCAGAAGCTTTTTAGTAGTTCTTATGATGGGTCCGTTTGATGTTTTGGTTGTGTGCAGGAGAAGAGAAGAAGCACAACGACTTCTAAAGGATGCTTTCGTCGCTTTGGATGGATAATAAAGTGATGCTTTTTTTAACCCATTTTGTGTAAATTAGCGCTAATAATAACCTTTGCCCTCGAAACTCATTTTGATTGTGTTTAATTTGGCAATCAACCAATACACTGTAAGATCCTGTGTGTGTGTGTGTGAGAGAGAGAGAGAGAGAGAGAGAGAGAGAGAGAGAGAGAGAGAGAGAGAGAGAGAGAGAGAGAGAGAGAGAGAGAGAGACGTGTGCAATCTCGCGATTCAACAAGTAAGCAGTGTGGTTACTTCTCTTGATACTAATTGAAGTAACGGCAAAAGTTTCTCGAGTTTAGTTTAGATGGTGAGGAGTAAAACATAGATTTAGTAAGCCTCAAACTTGGAATTAAACAGACGATCAAAAGTATGCACTTAATTTTGTTCATGAGCGTGTAACACAAAGCTACACTAAGAAGTATTACATGAGAATACTCTCAAAATTCTGGCAACTCTTTCCTCGAGCTAGTAGAAAGATTTAGAGGTTGTCATGTGTGTCAAATATCCTAAGTCATGCACATCTCCTAAGTGTATATCCTAAGTCATGCACATCTCCTAAGTGTATATGACTTTTCTTTCATTGGTCAATAATAATAATTGGTGGTTAATGGGGGTGTAGCTCTAGCTTTAAATATATATTAAAATAAAACAATTTCCTACAGAATAATTTATGGTCTAGTGGTTATCACTCCGCGGTACCGAGGATTTCCGGGTTCGATTCTCAATAGCGTTTCCCCAATTGCTTTTTCAATTGCTTTGGAATTAGAAGACTAAAGATTTCTCGCTCCCTTATTTAACCTTTTAATGGTCTTTAAATTGGCTGATCAAAATCAATTCCAAAACAAATCCAGCAATAAATCAGTAGTTATTAGTTCATTTTTTTTAAGGGTTAAATCTATACTATATAAAAGTCGAGGCTATAAGCTCCTGAGACTGTCCACATAGGATTTTAAACAACCACTCGCGATTAGACACCTCACTGATTAACATATTTTGATTCTGATAATTTTCTATTTAAAAGTTTTCGTAAAAAGGAAAAAAAAAACAATAAAAGAGATATTTCAAAATATGGAAATATTTCTAATTATAATCTTGTGTTATTTAAAAACAGATATAAATAATCAAAATTTAAAGTTTTAATTTTTTAAAGATTATTAAATTTATAAAAGAAATATCTAAAAATATGAAACAATTCTGAATATAAATTTTGTCCAAAAAAAGAGAAATATTTGAAAATATGGAAATATTTTAAATTATAATCTTGTTTTAAATAAAAAACATAATATAAATAATCAAAATGTAAAGTTTTGATTTCTTAAAGATTATTAAATTTATTTATCTTTACTATATAAAGGTCGAAGCTATAAGCTTCTCATGCCGTCCACGTGGGATTTTAAACCACCAATCGCGATTTGCCATCTCAGTAGTTAACAAATTTTGATTCGAAGCCATAAGCTTCTGAGACCGTCCGCATAGGATTTTAAACGACCAATCGTGGGGTGCCATCTCGCTAATTAACATTTTTTTAGATTCTAATAATTTTCTGTATTAAGATTTTTGTAAAAATGGATAAAAGTAACATATGAAAATAAGATAAATATATAGAAATATAGAAAATTTTCTTAATATAAATTTTGTTCAAAAATATATAATATAAAATAATCAAATGTAAAGTATTATTTTTTCTAAAAGTTTAGTATATTATAAACGAAAATATTTAAAATATGGAAACTATTCTAAATATAAATTTTTAGTTAATCACAATAGCTTTCTGAATATAAATTTTGAATAGATTATTAAATTTATAAACGAAATATCTAAAAATATGAAACAATTCTGAATATAAATTTTGTCAAAAAAAAGAGAAATATTTGAAAATATGGAAATATTTTAAATCATAATCTTGTGTTATATAAAAACATAATATAAATAATCAAAATGTAAAGTTTTGATTTCTTAAAGATTATTAAATTGATTTATCTATACTATATAAAGGTCGAGGCTATAAGCTTCTGATGCCATCCACGTGGGATTTTAAACCACCAATCGCGATTTGCCTTCTCATTTGTTAACATATTTTAATTCGAAGCCATAAGCTTACGAGACCGTCCACGTAGGAATTTAAACGACCAATCGTGGTGTGCCATCTCGCTAATCAACATTTTTAGATTCTAATAATTTTCTATATTAAGATTTTTGTAAAAATGGATAAAAGTAACATATGAAAATAAGATAAATATATAGAAATATAAAAAAATTTCTTAATATAAATTTTGTACAAAAATATATAATATAAAATAATCAAATGTAAAGTTTTATTTTTCTAAGAGTTTATTATATTATAAACAAAAATATTTAAAATATGGAAAATATTCTAAATATAAAATTTTTAGTTAATCAAAATAGCATTCTAATTAATTTAATATCTTTACATTTTATTTATTAGATAAAATAAATATTTGTGAAAAAGGAAAGAAAAACAATATTTGGGATTTAAAACGACCAATCGCGGTTAGACATCTCGCTATTTAATATTTTTAAAAGTCACATTAATTAATATTTTTAAATTCTAATATTTTCTATATTAAGATATTTATGAAAAGGAAAACAATGATAGATATGTAAAGAAGAGAAATGTAAAATGTTGAAAACAACATATGGAAATAAGAATAATGTAAAATTTAGTTATTAGAATATATATAAAATAATTTCTTAGATTAAGAATACTTGTGAATGGTAGATGTGCTAATGGGAATAAAGAATGACACAAAGACAATGAGTTCTTGCAAAAAGATAGAAAGAGTGATAGCTCTAAAAAAAATTGTGAAGACGGAAATTCATACTCATATTGAAAAGAATGAGAGAAAAATATGAGTTGTAAAAAGAAAGTATATATTTTTTTTTATAGAATCTTATTTTAAAAGAGTTATACTAACTAATGCAGTGAAGATAGACAAAAAAAATAGTGAATTTGCGCATACCAAAATGAGAAAGTCATCGAACTATGTCCCCTTACAACAATTTATTTTATGAGATTCAGCCAAAACGTCGTACATGAAAAGATCCAGTCATCCAAATTATCTAAAGCTAAAGAAAGAGCTATTAAACAAAAATATGTTTTTTTAATAAATGTTGTAAAGACCTAAAAATTGTAAAAGAGTTTTTTTTTTTTTGTGTATTTAAATTGAACTATTTTCCATGGTAATTTTAAAATTCAAAGAATTTAAACTATTAACAATAAGTAGCCATATAAAAACATATATTTCAAAATTTTAATAAATATTATTATTTACAAAATTTTTTACTAAAAGTATTACATAGCGTGGGTGTAGAACCTAGTAAAGAAGTAAGAATATTCAAAATTAAGAATTTATCATTAATATATATACCTGTCCAAGAAAGGAATGTATTGTTAGTATTATTTAAATCTTGCCATAAGTTAAACAAGACGATATTGCAAAATAATTTATCATTAATTCTCTCTCATCGGCGGATTTTAATGTTTGTGGTTCGATCTTCCTCAGCACAAGACTATAATATTCTTGTTTCCTTATATAAACCCTTTTGTCATTTTTAATGTTTCAAATTGGCTTATAAAAACCGTCTCACTACCTTTTTAATGTTTTAAATTGGCTAATAAGAATATATAAGAAAAACTTATATATATATATATATATATATATATATATATATATATATATAGATATTTTTGAATGGGATCCACACTAATCTCATCTATAGATTCAAGAAATTAAGCTTAACCAAAGTTGGAGAGAAAAAAAAAACATATCACAAGTAGAATTTGAGAAACAGTATTTTAAATATTTATCAAACGGTTAATCCTAAACATCTAAATACTGTTTAGGAGTATTAATTAAATCTTGCCCAAGACTATTTTCGGAAAATTTGTTGACTTAAATCTGTAAGCAGAATATCAAATAATATAAAGAATTGACAGCGGCGTAATCAGGGAAATCATAGTTTAGGTCCTAAACTTTAGGAGTATCAAAAGATTTAATTGTCATGATTAATATCAATAATTTGTTTTTCAAAAGTATGAATTGAAATAAATACAAACACCTTTTGAACAAAAAAGAAAAGAAAAGAATAATAAATACATACACCTTGCCCAAGAAAGTAACGCACCAGTCGTTGTTAATGTTAATTAAACCATGCCGTAATACAGAAGTCGTCGAAGACTATTTTCCGTAATTTATTATTCAGCTACCGAGATCCATCTTATTTTATTAATTTAAAATAAAAGGAAATAATTTAAAATGGTGGATATTTAAACGAAGGAGTCTCCCGAATAGTTGTTTTTTTGAAAAGTATTTCCTCTTTTGGTTTAGTTTTTTCACTCTCTTCCCTCCGACGGGACTTTCTTCTTCGAGAGGATGGAAGCGATTTCTGGTTCCGTTAGAAAGCTTATTTTTTTACTATTTTTTCACACATATATAATGTCTCAGTTAGATCTAGGGCAACCTCTCCTTCATTTTTCAATTGACGGCAAAGGTGAGTTCTTTCATCTCTCTGGTGTCTCTGTTTTGGGTTGATGTTCTTGTGTGCTTCAATTTCTAGCTGTTAATCTAAAAATGAATGTGGGTTTGGTGGTTTGAATCTGTTAGACTCTTGATTTGCATTTACCTATCAGTCTCTTCTTCTTCGATTGGTTTTTACTTTCAAGATAAATATGTCTCTGTTTAGTTTCAAGCTAGTTTTAAGCTGAATATATGAGAGATCGTTGAAATGATTAATTTCTAGGAATTGTTGAAATGTAGGATTCATTGCAAAACATCTCTGGTTCAGATTTGTATGCTTCAGTTTTTATCTGTTATCGATATGTATATGGGTTTGTTATGTCTGGTAGATTCAAGGGAACAAGAGTTCTTCTATCTCATTTGGTTTGGTTGTTTAATTCATGTGTTATTGGTTGTGAAAAGTGCAGAACCAGCATCCCTCCAGGAACTTCCTGTGTTGATTATCCTTGCTCTTAGATTTAACGGAACGAGATTCTGGTAACAGGTGAGTTCTATAAACTCCTTAGTGTTGGTTTTCTTGTTTAATTCGTGAGACTAGTAATAGCTGCTTGCTTGATTCAGGTTTCATGGCAAAAGACAGATCCTATTGGTCTCATAGACAAAAGCAGCGTCAAAAACTTCTCCGAAAGATCTTGGATCAAGAATGGGATGCATGCTGGGCAATTGCTCCAGCAAGACATTTAGACGCTTTGTTTAGGAAGGAAAGACTTTTAGGGGCTCGTGAGGAATTGTCGATTCAAGAAATTATTGATATGATGCCTAGGGGTAAATTAGAGAATCGTCGTCTTACGAATTTTGATGCGTTGATAAACATTCTCAAGGAAGGAACAGTCTTAGAGAGTGAGAATCCATTGAATTATGGATTTGCAGAGGAAAGTACTGAAGCTGCAACTGTCCGAACGTACAAAGCTGCAAAGGTCACTTTGCACAAGTCTGAGGATTATGCTGATAAAGATTATGATGATATGCTTGAGGAAAATATCAGAATTTCACCAATAGCAGCACGCCTTGTTCTGGTTAATGACGATTATGATGCTATTGAAGGAAAATCAATCTATCTTCCAGATCCATTAGCACCTGAGGATGCAGGACATCTATTGTTGCTTACCGGGTTTGGAGTTGATGCAAATGGCATAGAGTTTTGGGAGGCGCAGGATTCATACGGACGGAAGCATGGAGATGGCGGGTTTATAAGGATAGCTAGAAAAGAAAACTTGATCTCGGATTTCTTTGTGATGGAAATTGATAAAGAACCAAAAACTTGAGGTAATTATTTGATAAATCCCTATTTTCAACTCCAGTCCTCAACTGTCTTAAAAGTTTTATCAGATAATTCGGTTGTTCATGATATTCAAAACTCAATTGCATCTTTGTTTATGGGAAATGCATAGTTCAATTAATTTGCATAATCATGTTGACCAGATTACTGACAAATCTTTTATATGTTGCAGGTAACTCTTTAATGCTTGGATCAGGTCTTCTGATCTTTCATAGGTTTTAAAACTCTGTGTAACCAGTAGTAAGTAAGTCTATTAGGAGATCGATAAGGCTCTGACATTTCTTAGGTTTGAGTTGTTTTTAAGATCAAAATCATATTCTGCAAATGTAAGCTGCTTCAAAGTTTGTCGGTGTATTGAATCTTATCACTCTTAATTCTGACAAGCTTTGGTTTGCATTAAAAATGATGACTCTTTCATTTCCGGTTGAATTACATTGACAAAAAGTTTTCCCCTGAAACTAGCCAATTGATTCTTGTTTGGAGCCTCCAAATTTGTAGAACTCAATACATAAGTAACAAGGGTTTCTGATAACACATCATGTGGAGCAGAAGAGTCCAGTCCAGGTATTCTACTTTGTAGATTCCCTATGTAATGCACATTTGGTGGAAACACAATACATCCCTCTTCATTTTCTGTAATGAAACATGAGATGAAGCTGATAAGCCCGTTGCAAGAACTGGTCCTCATGATCAGCACAGAGTTCTTCACCTTCCTGTTATTGGTGAGATAAAAAAGCACAATTCAATCTTAAGGACTAGAAAGCAAAACCAAAACAAGGAACATATATAATGCAGTAAAATATAACAGATACAAATACTATCGAGCAAAGAGGAGGCAAGGGATCGAATATCATGTAGAAGACCCACGATTTCGTCTACAACTACATTATATTAAAGAAGTACCATTAGGACTTGCGAGTCCGACTTGATGTGACCTGCCAATATTTTACGGGACCAAGCCTCCTTGAGGGATGCTCTTACCGCTAACGCTTCACCCGTAAGAGCGGAGATAACATGTGAAGATGAGGCAGAGCCTATAAAAACAGAGGTGCCATAAAGGTTCCTGCCAATCCAGCCCATTCCACATTGGTGGCTACCCTCATTCCAAGCAGCATCAGTTTCAATTTGGATCGAGTCAGCAGTAGGTAAGACATAACCGCGGGTCTCTGCAATAACCTGCGGAGATGGTCGTCCAGGTGGAACTAAGTCCAAATGTGCTAGTTGCCAGCTCCTAGCATCTTGAATGGCTTTGAGAGTAACTTCATCTTCAGCACAATTTTCTCTGATACAAAAAAAGCTTACGTGAAACATTTAACCATCGGATCAATGGATCATTAAAATTCAACTTAATAACTTCGTTCGTACCTGACATTCATAAATAACGTCTCCGTCGACACTTCTTTTTGGCCTTATCAAACCAATGAGTCAAATATTGTTTCCAATTAATACAATCAATATACAAGACGAATATTTGACCTAACATTCATCTAGTGGCGGAGTTTTTAACTGGGTCAAAATAAATATTAAAAAAATTATTTATAAACTGTAAAAAAAAATCTATAATTGCATTCTACATTCATTCATACCTTTTCTAAACAAACGAATCATATTACAAAAGTATAAGACATTTTTAAAAACAAAAAAAAAAAGCAAAAAAAGCATTACCTTGATTTAAAGATGCCATAATTTGGAGTTTTTTTTCAAGCGGCAAAATTTTTTTATTGTTATTTCTCTATTAATTCATATAAATCATTAAAAGTTGTATTATTGTTTTGGGTTTCGTTTGAACGTGAGTTCAATTTCGAAAAATATTGCACTTTTCATGTATGTAAATTAGTTTTTTGATTGAATCAATGGGGTCAAGAGATAATTTTAATTGGGTTCATTAGATCTAATGGTAAGACGTATGATAGAATTTTATAAAGTAGTTGGGGTCAGCTGACCCCACTACCTATAGTGTGCCTCCGCCATCAATCAATATACTATAAGATTTAAGTCAAATATTATCTTTTTGGTCAAATCTTATAGTATAACTTTTTTTTTGACATCTTTGGATCGACAAGGCCCGATTCATAGTCAATCCCTACTACGCGGGGTAACGCGACTTAGTGGAGTCGAACTTCGGTGGGGAAGGCGGAGTCAAGTGGACTTAACCACTTGACTAAAGACACATCCCCTATAGTATAACTTTTTATGCAAGACGAATTCTAATTGTTCGGCTTCTTCTTATATATGGTTATTAAAATATGACAGACTAAGCAAAGACTAGTAGCAAAATATTAAATGTTGCGTTATAACTTATGAATTGGATTATTCTTCTCCCGTTGTGAAGATTGATATGAAATGCGATTCCTTTATGACTTATAACTAGAATTCAACACAAAAAAAATTGGCAGCTAAAGCTCATAAGTATTATGGGAAGACAATGAAATTTGCAGAACTGATGCGTCCCGCTCTGTACAATTGCTAATTCCTCTCCCTTCACCATTCTTTGCTTTTGTTTCATCCAAAGTTACCAAATCAACTCTTTAAACTTAGTTGTGTAATAACGGTGTTAGAATCCTCTAATACACATATTCTTGTATCCTTGAGTAAAAAAATAATTGTGAATTTCAAGGAAAGACCTTTTGCGAAGAGATGTTTTTTTGTCGAAGAGATGTTCACGAGTATGTGATCTCAAGGAAAAACGTAAGATCTAAAAAGAAAATAAATGTTGCATTGTAACAGTGAAAGCATATAACGATTACTGCGCGTACTATTTTTTAAACATCCAGAGAAAGACATATCATACATGCATGGGTGATGATAAATAAGAAAGAGGTAGCATTTTATCACAGTTATAGACACCAAAGAAGTTTGTCGGGCCTTCTACTTTTCCATGTACATATTCATCTTAGTCTTCATCTTCAACTTGTGCATCTTCTTGTTCTTCACCATCTCCATCATCTTCTTCTCCTTCTCCTTCTCCTTCTCCTTCTCCTTCTCCTTCTCCTTCTCCTTCCCCTTCTCCTTCTCCTTCTCCTTCTCCTTCTCCTTCTCCTTCTCTGTCTCCATCTTCTTCTTCTTCTTAGCCACCTCAAGTAAAGTACCTAATATAAAGTATAAACAAGGAAACTAATGAGAGCCTGAGAGGATTTAATTTGTTACCAGGAATAAAGAATGAGGAAGCAAGAGCAAATTTATGTACTTGGGAGAGTATAGCCAGTAGTAGTGCAGGCGAGCGGCCTTCTTTTTTTTAGGATATCGGGTCGCGGCACAACAGGTTCAACTACAAGAGTCGATCCTCCCATGTTCCGTCCACTTAGTTCCAGCGCCTTGTCTACACATCTTTCTCCTTCAAGATAAATAAAAGCTGCACCGCTGCAAAATTCAACAGAGACAGTCTTTACTTATTATAATTCATCAACTTTTGAGAGTTGGGAAAAATAAATTTCACAAATTGGATGAAGAAAGAAGCCACAAACCTTTTGAGAACTATAACTTTCCAGATGGATCCACATGAGGAGAAATGTTTATACAGCGCGATCTGCATATCAATCTTAGGAAGCGAAGTGTCATATCCGGTAATGCGGATCCTAAATAAAAAATTTGATTTCAGGAGATAAATGTTATTAACATGACAAGCTAAAAAAATAAAAATATTGATTGCAGGAGATAATATAATCAAAATGTACATGTGTGTTTTGGTATCGGCGGGAGCAGCAGCACACCTAGGACCAGCATACCTAGGATCATCCATGAATACTTTCTGCCAGGGTGCAGGCTTAACGATAGCAGTCCATCCTCCGATGTCAGTTCCACTAAGTTGCAATGCCTTTTCTTCGGCACCTTCTCCCTCGATCCTCATGAAGGCAACACTGTACATAAAACCAACGATACAAAAACAAAGTTCTTCTAATTTGAGTTAGTTAATTAGCAGAATTTAACATGAGAGAGCTGGGAGGGAAGAAGCCACAAATTAAACCTCTTGAGGATACCCCTTTCAAAGTCTGTGGGTACATAAATATTTGTGATCTCTCCGCATGAAGCGAAATGTTTTTCCAACACGAGTTTGAGAGGATACTTTCGAAGCCAAGTGTCATATCCCTCAACGGAAACCGTCGTGCTGGAGATACTGCAACAATTTGATTTTGATTGCAGGTATAGATAATATTATGATCAACAACAAGAATTTCCCACAGTATATATATATGTAAATAAATTTACCGGGGAGTTTGAGAGTCTGCACCACTATCGTCACCACTATCGTCACCACTATCGTCACCACTATCGTCACCACTATCGTTCAATTCCAGCAAATTCAGACCCTAAGGTACAACAGAAGATCTAATCAGAAATTCTACTAACTTCATAATATTGAGAAACAGAGGTTAAGCAAAGAGTGAGTAAGAAGAAAATCCATAAGGAGAAGAAGATTACTTTGATGGCGGATTCGTCCATGGTAATAAGTAGACAAGAGCGACTGCTAGGGTTCCAGAGATATTTTTCAGATCTAGGGATTTAGCTTTGAACAAGTTTTTTTTTGTTTTTTTTTTTTTTTCTGGTTTGCGACAATCCTTTCGTGTATATAATATAAGTTACGAACAAACTGTTGGGCCTTGAATCTAGTTCAGGCCTGCGTTAAGCCCATATATTCCTAATCTTTATTTCCCAAGAGGGTAGCATAAACATATTTCTTGAGCCGTTGAGGGATTTTTCCTATACGGGGGAAGATTCAGTTTCCACCTATATGAACCACTTTATATCTATACTATTAGTTGGGAAGCATTTCCTAAAAACTAACCTTAGAAAGTGTAAAAAATTACAAGAGAATGCCATTACAATTTAAGATTTAAACGACAAAATAAAAAATTTCGAAGAGGGGTAAAATTGACAATTGACTATAACTGGGACGCGGATCTTGGATCATCTATTCGGATCCTGTTTCTTAAAAAAACGCAGACCCGATTCGAATGATAAATCTTCTTATTGGGCTTACGAGATTTTTAGGCCCAGACAGAAGCATATGCGTTTATGGGATCTGCAAGTAATTAAAAAGAAAATAAACATTAATAATACATTACCATAACCAGCAAATCTATTTATTCGGATTAGAATATCACTACTCTTATATTTCCTTAACAAACCAATCTCATATATTACACTTATTAAAGGAAAACTAATTGATTTATATTTGATATAATAACAAATCAAGCATATTCCTTACTTATTCCTTAATCGAGAATATGTTAGCAATTAATTTTGACAAATAATTAGATGCAATTCTCGCAAAAATCTTTTCATATCAACTAAAACTTTGAATGCGAATTTTTAAAAAACAGGTCACGGAAAAATCAATGATATTGAAAGATATAGAATTCTAACCTTATAGATTTCCTTTATTAGTTTTTATTTAAAATCACACAATCTTTTCAAATCCATATTCAGTTCGAGACTATATTAAAAAAATCATAAATTATATGCAAAACAATAAAATCATAAATGTTATGCAAAAAATCGCCCAAAATCAAGCATATACTTTAAAGATTCTAATTCGAAATTATCTTAAAGGGTCGAAATTCTCTAAACCCTAATAAAATTAAAGACTCCATACGATTACTATAAATATAGGTAGCTTTCTTCTAAAGAACTCACCTTTTAAAGCTTTACCATTACCACTTCACGAATCCTCTAAAAAATGGCAGATGAGCAAGCATTCACCAAAGAAGGAAAGCCGCAGAAGGAAACGTTGAATGTGGTGTTCAAGAAAGTCTTTCAGAACCTATAAGGCTAAACATTGCAAGAGACATTTGGTTTAAGAGGTAACAACCAATAACAACTGATCATAGTAATGACCTGTTACACAATTAAAAACTATTCTATTTTACTCTGTGAACAGGTACAAGCGAGTATGGAAATGGTCAGGTGGCAAGTAATGGAGTTAGTGATATCAGTCTTCCATTGAAGAGCTTATCTGTACCATACTTATTCTGTTATGAACAAGTTCTTTTTTTTTCAAAAACTTGCAGACATCTATTACCTATAAGAGATTAACTTTGTTTTCCAAAAGTTATCTGTTACTTAAACACCATATTAAGCAATATGAAGTTAACTATTTCGATTCTACTAATTCAAGGATGAATTTGTAGAATCCATTTTTTCGGATATTAAGATTACTTGAACAGAAGTTAACTAATTCATATATAAAAGCAGTATTACGTTTAAATCAGAACAAACAATAGAAGAAGTTAAAGTATTGCTAATCTCTAATAAATTATAAAGATTTCAACATATAATGACAACAAAAACTATGTTATATAAATATACTATTTATTAAGAAATATATAACAGATTCAAAATATTCTATAGAGTAAAGAGAGATCTTAGACTTATCATCTCACTAACCTTTACCAAAGCTTCCATATTTCTGAATTGCTACAAAGGTAACAACAAATCTGACTCATCCATCATAAATAAACTGCGAATTGATCCTTATCCTGTATACATTGAACAATCAAATAGGAAAAATTAGTTAAATAAAAAAATATACAAAGACAAAACAATGTTTTTAAAAAGACTGCTACTAATTCAGAAAGAGTAACAATAGCTAAATAGTATTATGGACTAAACAAAAGTTGAATGTTCAACAACTCACTAATCTTATTGTTGCTTCGGGATTTTGGTACAACTGCAAAACGAAATCAGAATTGTCTCTTTCAAAAGAATTGAACTTGAAAATTATGTTGAACCTGTACAATTAGAACTTTCTATCATCAGCACCATTTATTTAATATCTTAATTGTTGAGTTATATTGAAATTCCATTATATGAAATTTGATAATATAAGATGACATACAAGAGGAAACACAAGCTCATGACATTGAAATTCCATTCTTAACTGTTAAAATTGAGATCTCACTAACCTTTTAAATATATATTTCTAAATAGCTACGATGACAAAATCTCTGCTGCTCATCCAAAATCTCATGTTACTCCAAAAACCTCCTTCATCTGAATAAATATACAACAAAGTTTTCATTCTAACATAAACTAAATCTGCAAAGCTATAAAACAAAACTTTGAAAATGAGATCTAACTAACCTTTAACATATATATATTTCAGAATAGCTACAATGACAAAAAAACATTGCTTTTGGCATCGGCTTATTTTACTCGCAAATGATATACTAAACATACAAAAAACACTTCTCAAATCACAGTTAATGCAAAATATACTAAATTACGTATATTTCAAACTACATATTGCTCTGTAATTTCAAGATTAACTGTTCAACTTCCTACTCTATATAATTTTTTTAAACTACTGTAAATCAAATTCTATTCATATAAAAATTAAGAAAAAGCCTAATTTTTATATTCAATTGAGAATAATTACACATATAAGATCCGCCTTCTTGAAAATCTATGGCGAATTTGTACTATTAAAACTGAAAATTTCAAAGATTGCAAATTTAATCGACATATACAAAAAATGAAAAAGTATAGATCTGATTCAATATGAAGCTTACCTCTTCATAGGATTCACGAATTGATCAAGTATAAGTATAATAGGAGACGCAGTAATGATTTTTCTATGAGAATCGCGCAAGTGATTCTGGAAATCGAGAGGTGTTTGTTCTTCAATATCCATTTTGTTCGGTGAATTTATTTTATTATTTTTGGAAATAAGACACGTACATTTCCAAACAACAAATATCTGTCCAAAAATAACATTAATATTTATATTTCGATAAATACCAAAAACAGCAAACACAAATTACTAAATGGCTTCAAAATCTGTTAAGACTGGGCCTCTATGAATTTGTCATACAGCCCATTCGAATGTTAATTGTAAGAAGAAGTTGGGCCTGATAATTAACATAACAGTCTTCGAGGCTTTCATAAATTAATAATAAGATTAACTAAACTATAATGTTAATTCAACATAATGTTAATTATACAATTATTAAATTGTAAGTTTCTTACAAAATTGAACTTTTATTTTCTCTACTACACATTATACTTCTCAAAATGTACAAATTCCCTTTTGTAAACTAAAACAGTTTTTGGTTTTCCGAATCTCACTAAATATACTGTATCCTATTATAATATTCACAAACCAAACATAAGTACATAATATATGTCATAAAATAATATGTAAAAAAATTGATTTAAGCATTTACCATCACAAATACTAGATTATACATTTATACTATTATACACCAATATTCTGCAAGTGTCCAAATTATTTATCGATCACCCAAACCAATATACTAATTCTATAAAACAATTATACTTACTTTTCTATTCAAAATTTATATTCTATCAAACAATAAACCAATTTGTGTACCAAAATTTATTAAAAACACAAAATAATCTTATAATACACTACAAATTTATAATTATATGAATTATATATAATTATCTAATACACTACAAAAATAGAAAATAATTTGTTAAATACTATTTATGAAAAACATATTTTATAAAACACATATCGTAAAATATAAACCCCGCACGTACGTGCGGGTCCGGATCTAGTATTTTATAAAATATTGGTATTCGGTTGTCTAAGTTTCGGTATGAATTTTATCCGGTTATAGAACAAAACTTGAGTCATTGAAATATACCTATTTGGATCACGATGTATACATAAACATATATTGAGCAGCTAGTAAATAATTATTACAAACAATATGTCATTTCTAATACTCTTTGTCTAGGTGATCCTTGCAAAAAAGGTTTTGTTATTATGTTGATGAATTTTTTAAAAAAGTATATATGCTTTGCTTAGGGTGAGTAGTGAAGCTAGCTAGTTTGCAAGTAATGGCTTCTTTTGGCGGCCAAGCAATTCTCTCCCTCTCTCTTTCACATACACACACAATCCTCGACGCCAAGACTTAAATCAATTCCTCCTAAATTATTCATTTTAAAATTGTGATGATACTAGCTTCACAATACACTCAAAAAATATTCTTCTTAATAATCTGTTTATATTTGTAATAACACGTTAGCAAGAAATAATCATAGAGAGCTTGGACAACTAATATGTAATAGAGTTGAATGAGTGTAAAAAGTTGGATATCAATCCCGCTATAAGAAACTCGTTATTTTGCTTACTTTTGTAGAATTCCTATCGAATTATGTAGTGCATATTAAATAACATGTTTTCTGAATTTTATAGACTGTTGCCACCGAGTTATTTGGTATACTACAACGGTTTCTCCTTCTTTTTAATTATCCCACAGCAAATCCCTCAACGGCTCTAGAAATTTGTTTATGCTTCAGGAACCCTCTTGGGGAATAAGGAGATTAATTAGGATTATATGGGTTTAGAGATGTGAAAAAGAGACTATATTGGCTTAAACGCAGGCCTAAACTAGAATTAAGGCCAAACTGTTTCGTAACTATCATGTACACGAAAGGATTATGTCCCAAACCAGAATAAATCTTCTGGCGCCGTCTTTCTCCAAAGCAAAATCAAAAGCTTCTTCGATCTTCTTCCTCTTGTGGTTACCAATTCGATTCTTCATTCCCAAAAGGTTCTTGTCGATGTAAACCCTATTTTTTCCCTTTTAATTGTTACACAGAATCATTAGAATGATATCTTAAATTTCGGATTGAATCGTTCGTTCATTCCATCAATTAGGAAACCCTAATTTTAGGAATCTGTTACTGATTTTGCTTAGTTTGTAATTTGGATCTGTAGAGAATAATGGATAAAAAAAGCCAAGAAACCTTTCTACACAAACGAAATCACCGTAATAAAAGATTGATACAAACTTGTCAAATGCAACCACTTTCCTACATCAAGGATCACATTTTTCAGCAGGGAAAAAAGTGATGTATGATATGAATCCACAATAAGCCCAAAAAGAATACCCAAAAATGTATCCAATACAACCAAATTCAGAGAAGAAGACACTACTGTGATCAAAGTTAAGCCACCAATCGTGTTTCCCAGACAAGAAGTAAATTCTGTAAGAAGACCAAAAGATGTTGCGGAAGGGATCATAAACATTTCTCCTCGTCAAATTCAAAACACAAATTATCGCGCAAAAAAAAAAAAAAAATTCCCGATTAGACTATTAGTCCCTACAATTATATACTTTCATAAACAATTCAATTAATTTTATTGTTTATCAGTTTAATTCACATATAGAATTTTAGTATTTCATTTATATGTTTGTATTTATAAGTTTAATTTTTGTATTAAGATTAATGAATACTTTAAATAAAAATAAAACTATTAGTATAGAAGAAATATTACATATCATTAAAAATAAATATTACACAATAACAATATTACATTAAACATATTTCATACAAAACAAAATAACACAAATAAGTAAAATTACATAAACACATAAATATTACACAAAAAGTACAATCATATTAATAACCTGGTAGATTTGATCCTGAACCTCCAAGATCTCCAAAGTATTGTCCATAGTAATTTGGTGTAACCGAAGGTTGTTGTTCTTGTTCTTGTGCTTGATTTCTTTTTTGTATGATTCTTGCTTGTTCAAATCGAATAAACTCACGGGTATTACTATCAAAGATAGTGTCTAATTTTGTTTTCTTTTTATTTTATAGTTATGTAATTTTTATATTTTAATGTAATGTTTTATTAATTAATCTTGCTTGTATAGTTAATTATGAAAGTTTTATGATTTTAATCAATTATGGTTAATAGTGAGGACTATAATGCAAATAGCTAAAATTTTGAAGTTTTATTTTGAAGTTTATCATTGGAGACAAAAGTAAAAAACTTCAAATTTGAAGTATCCCATACTTCAAAAATAAAGAGTCTCTTGGAGATGCTCTAAGTACTAGAATCAGTCAAATGAGCTTATAATTATTAATTTATTATTTGTCATTTTTCAAACTCATCTCACATTGCTTGGTGATTGCAGTATAGGTAGTTAATAACTTTGAGCAACATATTGACTTATTCTGTATGTATTTCTCTGTCAGTCATGTTCCTTGCATTACTAATCCTCTTAACATTTGTCATTCATCTTCCTTGCAGATTTTTAGCCACTGTAAGAGCTACAGACTGAAAACTCAAAATGATGCTTCTGGTGGCAATAGGTAACTCCTGGAACTTTCTCTTCTGTTGTTTATGCTCTGCTGTTGTTATTGGGACCAAATATTTCTAGGGATCAATAGTGATTACTGTGAGTAGAACTGGAATTAGATGTTCCAATTGATTTGCTCAGTTTCATGATGCAAAATTGCCATCTCAACTTTACTCTTCTTTTTGTTAATTCAGTTGTTTTTTTCTATGGCTCAGGAGTACTATCTCTTCACCTCTTGTTCTCTGTGTCTTACTCAAGCCCACCGGAAAACCCTGTTAGCTGTGGTTTCAGAGGAAGAAACTGCACGGTTCTCAACTCGTACGGCGCATTCTCCGATCGAGCCATCTGTAGAGCATCTGTCGTGGCATACCCGACCACGGAGAATGATCTCCTACAAGTCGTTGCTGAAGGAACTCGCGCGAGACAGAAGATGCGCGTGGTTACACGCTTTTCTCACAGCACAACCAAGTTGGCCTGTGTCGATGGAAAGGATGGTAGACTTATCAGCGCCGAGCTTCTCAACAAGACGTTGAGTGTTGATAGAGATGCGATGACGATCACGGTTCAGAGTGGCGTGTCACTTCGCCAACTCATAGGTGATGCTGCAAAAGTTGGACTGGCGTTGAGAATGGCACCACACTGGTGGGGGCTAACAGTAGGTGGGATGATGTCTACCGGAGCCCACGGTAGTTCTTGGGATGGGGAGCGTGGGGGCACTGCTTTTCACGACTACGTCATCGAGATGCGAATGGTAACCTCTGCTCCTCCTGATCAAGGATACTCCATGATTAGAACACTCAACCGCAGCAACTTCAGTGAGTTGGACGCTGCTAGAGTTTCTCTGGGCGTATTTGGTGTCATATCTCAGGTAAAAATCTTATATTTTCTGTTTATATCAAAGATAAATTATGTAATTGACTTGTTTGCTTATCTCCATTAAACTGTTTTTTTGGCTAAGATACATAATAAGCTTCTTTAAATCTTGTGTGGAAAAATGAAATAACCTTTGTATCATTCCTTTTCAGGTGACGGTTCAGTTGGAGTTAATGTTCAAAAGATCAATCACCTATATGAACATTAAGGATAGCGATCTTGTAGAGATGGTTGAGAAGCACGGAGATAGGTACGAGTTTCCTGACATAATGTGGTACCCCAGCCAAGGAGAAGTCGTTTACCGTATGGATGAACGGGTTTCAATGAACATCTCCGGCAGTGGCTCATATGATTCTGTATTGTTCGAAGCCAAAGACTCAAAAATCCTGGCATTCCAAAGATCAAAAGGTACATTCATTTCTACTAAAGATTTCATTACAAAAATATAAACATCTACATCATTATAATAACTTAATTTTATCTTAACAAACAAATAGAAGAAGAGCTAGAATTTGAAAGGAATTCAGAGGAGATTTGCACATTGGCGCGTGATGTTCCAGCTCTTTTATATACTCTGTTATACGGTTTGTCGAATGATGGTATGTTCTTTTTTACTGTGTATTGCAAAACCAATAACACATGTGAAATCAGATTATTAAGTTATGTTTCATATTTTGAATTGTAGGTATGAAGTATTCTGGCTATCCAGCGATCTGATGTCATCAGGAGGTTGTCTGGATAGCAAAGAAGATGGGTTGGCCACGGCTTGTCCCTGGGACTCCCGCATACACGGTCAATTCTTTCATCAGACCACGTTCACCATCCCTATAGAGAGCGTTAAGGAGTTTATCAGCGACATCAAGACTCTAGTCAAGATCGAACCGAAGGCTTTATGTGGACTCAATTTCTACAATGGTGTGTTGATCCGGTATGTACAACCATCATTTGCATACTTGGGCATCGAATTCGAGGGTATGGAGTTCGAGTTTACATATTACAGAAGCAGAGACCCGTTGATGCCTCGTATGTATGAAGATTTTTTCGAGGATATCGAGCAGATAGGTTTGTTCAAGTATGGGGGCCTGCCACATTGGGGTAAGAACAGAAATGTTGCCTTTATCAACGCCACTGAGAAGTACAAGGATGCAGCTTTATTCTTGAAGATGAAGCAGATGTTCGACCCACTACACCTATTTTCGAGCAAATGGACAGACGCAGTATTGGGTTTGGGAGGCGACCTTACCGTAGATACGGAAGGCTGTGCACTGGAGGGGTTGTGCATCTGTTCGAAAGATGTGCACTGTTCCCCTAGCAGAGGTTACTTCTGTCGAGCTGGGAAGATCTACAAGGCAGCGCGCGTTTGTACCCACGTATGAATGTTTATCTCTGTTTCAGTGTCTTATCTATTTTTTACTTAGAACTTATAAGAACTTATGTATAGACGCTCTTTTCGTTAGTTTATTTATATGACGATGGCCTCAGTTACTTGTTTGCAATACTGTGATTGTCGTGATCTTTCCCAACAGTTAATTGGAATACTGATCATAAGGTTTGGAATCTAAAACAACTTTATTTATGGTTTTTTCTACAGACAGTCTCCAAACCCCAAGAGGCACCAAAAAGTTTTACCAAAACATTATATTTATATTGCCAACCAACTAGTTGATGAGGCATGTGTTGTTGATGACGCTTGTAGATCCTGCAATTCAACTTGTCCTCAAGTTGTCCTTCAAGAAGATATGCTCATAGGTAAGCTCTGCAAACTTCTGGGTCCATTTTCCAATCATATTCTCGCATTCCTGTTCTCTTTGACAACAACAGTATAGGAACAATTGGTGATCAGATAAATACTATTAGCAAAGATTCGTGTGGCAAAACCACAAGATTCTGCAATATATATATGTTACTTCTGATTTCGTTACATCTTACTCAGCTTGAACCCTTAGAGTGAACCATAATATCATTTTGAAACCAGCAACATCTTGAGAAACATGTAGAGACACAACTTTCCACATACACTAGCAAGACCTCTTATGAACCTGATTTTTCTTAAGACTGAAAACTCAAGAAGACCTTTCCTCAATTCATTCTGATCACTTTTCAGTATGTGATCCAATCAAAGCGTTGATTTTAGCATTCCATGAGCATCCAGAAAACAACAACAGAGAATCACCACAAAACAACTAGTGCTTATATCTTAAGCAGCCTTCTTCTTATGTACTAATCAAGAGAAAACAATCTCTTTGAGTCAAGAATCTTCGACTCTTCCTTAACCTGAATCCGTTTTCCTCTTGTTATGATTTCTTCGATTCAGAATTGCATCGATCTTCTTCTTCCTCGTTCTTCCAGACAGAGATCACGTCAAATTGAACCAACTCGCGAATTCTGCTGGCTGTGGTTGGGACTCCTCTGATTTTTATTCTCTTCTACAGATTCGTGAAGACTCCTTACCGAAATCAATTTGTTGTTGCTTCACTGTATCGCAGGAACCCTTCTGGCAAATCAATTTGCTGGAACAATCTCTTCCTTGTTCGCCGTCGAGCTTTCCCGCCGTCACCATCGATGATCATCTCTTCAGGCGATAATTTGGGCTTGATTTTAATAATCTTCGGCCCTTTTCAACGTGAGAATCCATTAATTGATTAATCTTTGGCCCACAAACCTTATCCTCTTTGTTTTTTTTTTTTTTGTTTTCTAGGAACTTAATTCATAATACTCTCACGACTACATTTTCAAAGATGAAATATGAAACATTTTAGGTTTTAAAACTATATATATAATAGATTATTTAGGGTTATTTTAGATTAAATTTTTAAATGTTCTTGAAACTAAGTAATAACTTACACTTTGAATTAACTAAATATGTATGACAAACAAAATTTATGGCTCCACCATTGCCTTCGTTATTACTCGTATTCACCTGAATCAGAGGAACAATGTAAAGAACAATGTTTTGAATTTCACAAGATTTTTTTTTTTCATTTCTTAATAATGATTGCAAGATTTGTTTGCCCCAAAAAAGTGTTCGTCTTTTTCTGTTATTGGTCAAAAATATTGTGGATCTTTTTAAAATGCCAATTCAGCAATAAATATTGTATTATTTTGTAAATACTGTTATATCTATCCTTTTTTTCTTCTTTTTTCTTATTCCTTTGACAAGATTGTTTTTCCTTAATAAACTTTGAAATATATATATATATAAGGACATAAAAGACGAAGATATATCATAGAGAGAAAAAAATGAGAGATTTGATGATGAAGATCTATACTATTATGTTGATATTGCTTGTTGTGAGAACATCGTCGTTCAAACCTTTTCGTGGATGTAGCCGAACAAAAGGTTATGAAGATTTGGTTTATTGTGCTCCGTCTTTGAGGAAGAATTCACAATTTAATTTTCCGATACCAGAATGCTGCAAAAACTTAAAAATTGACAAGATGTATTGTCTTTGTGATGCTGTCAACCCTAATTTTCTCGAAGTTTTTGATGTGGAAAAGCTCCCCAAACTGTCTCATGCATGCGGTGATCTATTAGTTCCTGGCTCTTACTGTGGATGTAAGTAACATTATAACAACTCTCTTAAGTATATTATATTCATTTCAATTTTCATCCTCAACATATATGATGCATATAAGTAACATAAAAATCACAATCTTAATTAGTAAATTCATTTTTCATCTTTAATCTCATATATATATTGGTGTTTGGTGTTCCAGTATATAAAGTTCCTGGTGGTGCATGAGAGGAGAAAAGAAGAATACTTCTTCTATGGTTATTTGGCATTGATGAAAGCAGACTCATATATCTTAAATTATACGTTTACATCATATGTTGTGAAAGATCTCATCAATAAAAAAAAGTTTTATTAATTGTGTGTTCTTAATTTTTAGTAATTGACACGAAAAAGACAGAATCAACAATCCATGCTTGTGACTTAGACAAAACAGAAAAATAAGACATTGGAACATCCAAATGACTCTCACGATTTTCAAATAGAAAGAGAAAACAATAGACAAATCAAAGTATAAAATAGTCCATGAGCGTTTTCCTGTCTAGTTGTCTGTGATCAGCACGAGATTTTTTTTCATTTCTTAATAGTTAATACTCATAAGGGTCAAAATTTGTCTGCCCAAAATAAATCGCAAGATTTGTCTGTCCCGAAAATTTGTTAGTCTTTTTCTGTTTTTGGTCAAAAGGAATTAATTGTTGATCTTTAAATGATGGTAAATTTGCAATAAATATTGTATTATTTTGTAAATAATATTATCTTTCCTTTTTCTTTATTGCCTTGACAAAGTGTTTTGGTTATTTTTCATAATTGCTGGCTAGAAATTTCCTTAAAGAAACAAATTTCCATCAATACTTTATGTAGTTATGATTGGTGAAATATGTTTTATAATAATAAGTAAAAAGTTGATGATCTTTGAAAAATGGTAAACAAGTAATAAATATTGTATGATTTTCTAAATACGATTTTTCCGTACGAAAGGTTATGAAGATTTGATTTATTGTGTTACGTCTCTAAGGCTGAATTCACCATTTATCCCACCGATCCCAGAATGTTGTAAGAATTTAAAAATTGATAAGATGTATTGCCTTTGTGATGCTGTCAATCCTACTTTTGGTGAACGTTTTGACGTAAAAAAGCTCGGCAAACTGTCTCACGCATGTGGTGATCTATTAGCTCCTGGCTCTTATTGTGGAGGTAAGCAGTAACATTGAACACACACTCTTTTATGTTTATTCATTTTTTTTTATCTTCAACCTTATATATATGTTGATGTTCCAGTATACAAAATTCCTGGTGGTGCATAAGAGAGATGATGAATACTTCTTCTCCGGTTATTTTGCAATGATGAAAGAAGACCTTAAGTTGTATGTTGTGAAGAATGTTGACCGGATTTCCTCAATAAATAAATTTTATTAATTGTGATCTTAATTTTTTTTATTGAAACGAGAAAGACAATATAATGCAATCCACTAATCCTAATTATTTATTTATTTATTTATGTCATAGGCTCATAATATATTAGACAACTCTAATCAGAGAGGGTACTAATTAAGCTCCCCCATATTCGATTATTTAGGTAGCAAAATGTCAATATAACACAATGTCGCATACATAGATAGTTTAAAACTAAAACACAACTGTTCATTCACTTATTTATGCATATATACCATGGACAACCACCCAAGTAGTCAAAACAGAACTGTGCAGACATATTTATGGGAAACTTGCGACTTCGTACTCATGCTCTATTTTGAGAGGAGATTCTTTAGAAACAGGTCGGTCTTCAGACCATAGCTCCAAGTTAACGGTTCCACAGTCCCAGTGGACTATACATTTGAAGACCTGACTAACATTGAACTTGTTTACTAGCCGTAGATTGAGGCTCTTGTCCACCAGCATCCATTCACCTAAGAAAATAGAGGAAGAGTGTTCGCGCAAATGTTACATTGATCCATATGTTTAGTATCATGATAAAAGTCTTCTTTCTATTTGGGCTATTGATTAAAACATGAGAAAAATGTGAAAAGCCTAAAGATACTTACCATGTGGGAGGTTGTTCCCTTCATATATTTGCTCTTCAGAATCTGGCCAAACTTCATGCTTTGAACCATCAATCGACATGAATGAGACAAACGATTCAGTTGGATGCAAAAGAGTGAAAGTTGGATGGACTCTTAAGCATACTAGCCTGCAGCATTAGGTAACCAGCACCAAAAAACAACATCATTTTCCAGACACAAGAAAAAAGGACAGGGGATTTGAATCATTTGACTTGATCTATTCTCGTTCCAACAACAGAAGAGGATTCATGCATCCATATATCACGTACGAGGAACAAACCTCATACCAACTTGCAAGCAACCTATTCTATGCAAAATCTACTTAAATTACATAAGATTACTATAAAGTTGGTACTTTAATGTGTAAATTCTCTCTGTTCCGTAACCTCTTGCAAAAGCATAGACCTAGTGGAAAAAAGGGAAATCTTGAAGCAAGTAGACAAACCTTGAAAATCCACCAGAACCAGCACCAACACTACGGGCTTCAATGCTAGAGGCAATCTGAAAAACTCGGGGATTTTCTTTAGGTATACTTATTTTACGCCGAAGAACCAGTCCACCACCTACATCACCTTCCAGGATCAGAGATTCCTCCTCTCCTGCATGCTCCAAATCCCTCCTACACGAGATGGAACAATCAATGTAGTAACAGAAATAAAGATAATGCAGAGAGCTGTGTGTTCATGTCAACATTCATTGCATGCATGAAATGTGCTTGTGTGAGAGAGATTGTTAAAGTAAACTTACTCAATGACATTATATTCCTCAGTACATCCAGCTGACCGGTACTCAGTACCACTATACTCCTCATAACCATTGATATCTATCCTGCTATGAAGCCATTGAATTCCTGCAAATTGCAATCAACCAAAACTGTAGTCTCTGCACATTCTCAAAGCCAATATGGACACAACACCGTCAACAATCAACTATGAGCTGATTCTTGGCAACACACGATATAATGACACAGAGATATGGGAATTTGTCTGGGTGATCATAGTTTGCTAGAGTCCAATAGATATTGACATATTGTGTCTCTCAGTATAGGGCTGAGACTGTTTACTTCAAAGAAACAGAACATGTTTTTGTCTCTGAGCATTCTCCACAAAAGTGTTGAAAGTATCTCATTCTTAAAAGATTTGCAACTTTTTCAAACTTAATAGTACATAGAAAAACAGTTTATCGATATATTACCTGAGGGAACATGTGTCATAGACAATATCCTTCCACCAATCCAGGGAACTATATTAAGTTTCCAATCGCCACTGTTTAACTCAACTGGCTCCTTTGAAAGTTCCATTCCCTTTTGTCCAGGTAGCACTTCCTTCTCAGGTATCAGTTTTGTATTTTCTACATTTCAATAATACACATACTCAGAAAGAAGATACACTGCATTAGTATACTGCAGTATGTACAGGTTCATGGAACTAAAGATCTTATGTTTAGGAAGGAGCTGCGACTCGGTTAATACAGTATAGAATTTAAATGAAAATTAAAGCTGAAGGATGTAACAAGGTATTATAGAGGACTTGACGAATGCAGTGAATAGAAGCAATACATCTCAATAACTACAAACCTGAATATACAAGTAGCTACAGATATATATAAAAGATGAGATGTACCCATATGAAGTTTAAAGCGCTCATTGCTTGTGGATATTAACTCAGAAACTTCACTTTCTGAGGGCACCTTAATGTGGATAATCTCTCCATCCATTCCCCAAGCATCAAGCTGTTCAACACTATCTAGATTCAAATGTTCTGAACTTATAGTTACACTATGTTATTTTAACAAGAGAAAGAGCGGTACCATTGCACCGCCTCCTAGTAATAATTGGACATGAATACGGCGCTTCGGCCTCTGCCAGTCTCCTTCAGTTTTTGAAACCTTGACAGTGACAGTGGAAGAATGCCGCTCAGCAATGTAGTGTGTAACTAGAAATCTGCCTTTAGTGTAGCCATATCCATCTCCATCATCCTCGAACAAGAGTCCTTTAGCTTTCCCTGACAGAGATAAAAGAGTTATTGTCCTGATTATTACGAGACTTAGAATATGAACATAAAATCTGACAAGGTAATCACCAAAAGAGTTATAGAGCTTAATACACAATCATGTGCCTGAACACTACAACAAGGACTTCGAAACGTAATTGTGGTACGTTATGATTTATTCACTTTCTCGAAATGTCAGAAGAAATACCAATATTCTGTTGCATTATGATTTATTCTCTTTCCACGAGTTTCAGTAACATGATACCTCTCACTATATAATACCTTGTTATCTGATAAACAATCTACAAAAAGACAACAGAAGCAAAGTAGAAAGAAATAAAAATTTCAGATCACTGATCGCCTCTGTCTGGATCAAAAGCTAAACTTACCATTTTCATCTAATGACACAAGTAGGGTCAAGTCATCTGACAGACTAAATTCCCCAACATGCAGATGTGGAGGAGCCAATGATATGATGGATCCACCTTGTAAATATAATGTTGGTAAATCCTGGCATCATGAAACGAACAACCAACATGTGAAAGTATAAACAAAATCTACGTTCTTTCGCAAAGAATGGATAGACGACAATCACGACTGTTAGCAACCATACCGGATGTGAATCTTCAAAATCAAACCTAAGCCAAATTCCTCTGGGCAATATGTGCTGCAGCTCATGTGATCCCTGACTAGACAAAGTGCTAGACAATGATAGAAAAAAAACCAAAGAAAGCTTGATGAGTATAAATGGCAGATTAAACTACAGAACAACTCACAAGAATGAATAAAAAAACATTCATTTACAAGAATGCAATAAATGACTGAACAGAAAGAGAGACTATAAGGTTAAAAAAATTTCAGTTGTTGTTATTCACGAAAAGTTTAAAATTAAAGCACTGAAAAACTGTCATGACCAAACCTCATAAGATGTCAATTATCATGCCCAACAAATGGTTCTAGTTACTTCAACATTCTAAAACTTCTGAATCACTTGTTCCGAAAATTCAGTCAAATAGTACTGAAACATTTCATCAAGTGGCCAAATCAGAACACAAACCACATAACAGAGTGAAGTCATGAAATCTGCAAGCTATGAGTTAAGGAAAGCAATGATTCTGAAAATCTTCATGAAACTTGCAAGATCCATATCCATGTTTGAGTGGGAAGATAAAAACCTTGCATATAAAAGAAGGGGACCCAAAAGAAAGCCATTTTCAACAGTCCTTAGCCGGGAATCTTTAGGATCTACATTTATCAAGAAACGTAGGAAAGAATGAGCATAAGATATGATTGCATAAGTTCACGACATTGAATATAAATTTTACACAAACCTACCAGCGAAAAAGATTGGAGCTGCAACTGGAGCACCAGTTGTATGGGCTATGTAAAACAAGGTGTAAAAATGTGGTAGGAGTTGGTAACGCCTCTTCAATGCGGCACGACAGACTTCCTCGCACTAATTAAAACACTACAGTTCATAAGTGGGGCAAAACAAATCCTAAACCAAAAAATGACTTTCTTATCATTTGTGTCAGGTGTCTATCTTTCTATTTTTAGTAATGAAAATTGAGTTGTAATGCTGAAATAGCTCTTACAAGATTTGCAAGAAAAAGATTACCTCTTCTCCGAAAGACCATGGTTCATGGTCAGCAGTGCCAGCCTCAGAATGACCACGACAGAATGGAAACATAGCTCCAACACCCATCCAACGTCCAAAAAGCCGCGGAGTTGCATTGCCAGCAAAGCCACCGATATCTGGCCCTGATAAGGGCTGACCACTAAGCCCCTGTATGCAATTTACTGTCTCAGAGTTAATAGGTGTTGCAATTGTTAACTTATGGTATGAGAGGGAAAAAAAATATTTAATAATAGTTCTTTGCCCAAATCGAGAAATACAACAGCAAAACCATATTTTTACTCATTTCTGCTGCTAGCTCTACCAAACTGGAGAAAAATATAGGTTATAAGCAACACCAAAGCTTAAAAGAACAATAAACAATTCCCGAAGTAAAGAATTCAGCCAAAGCAATTGATCACGAGTACTAAACTTTTAGGTCCTCAGAGCTTGACAAGATATATTAGTTATCGTAAATGACTATCCCACTCCAGACTTTAATTTTGTGATAAGGATTCAGAAAATTCCTGAAATTCTTACCAGTTGAAGGACCATGGATATAGACATATGTAGATGCTCCCAGTTTGAAAGGTTATCTCCTGTCCAAGTCGCAGCATATCTCTGGCTACCTATGAATCCAGCTCTTGTCAATACAAAAGGTCGCTTATTCTTATCAGCTAGCTCCATCCCTTCATAAGTTGATCTGGCCATCAGCATCCCATAGACCTACACAACAGGAAATCTTGACTAAGTTATCTTGCA